GACTTGGGTGCATCGACTATGCCAGCCTGATTTGCATATTGAGATTCGATCGCAATGCAGGCAGAATCCCGACAAGAATAATCCTCATTAATACCAGGTGTGAATGAAAATGGCGTGTAAATGGGGCCTAGATTTATGCTGTGCACCCACACACTCACACTCTTTCTAGTGACTGGGAAGGAAAAAGGCAGTGTCTACCCTCACTGCAGAGTGGCAATGAATGTTTCCAGGTTTACTTTCATTCATAAAACCTTGCTCACATATGGAACATCTATAGTTGGTTTGGTTAGGTGGAACAGTGAAGATGTGCCCTGGCTCCCTCCCTCCTCATCACCTACTGTATGTAAATGACAGCACGATGTCGTGGTTCAGAGTGTAATCAGAGTCTATCGGCCAAGTCACGGCAAGAATTTCTTGCTCCGAATCTGACATTGACCGCCCCATAAGACAAACATACTGTGTAGTCTCCTGCAGTGCAGCACTGACCTGGGTATTTGGATGGAGTTGTTTCTTCCCAGACGATATGATATGATGATGTCTGGCACAAGATCTCTTTTTTTTTACCTTTACATACATGCCTCATTTGCCACTTCATTTGTTTCCCTTACCTTTCTTTCATGCTGATATGCTTAATTCACCTTCATTCGTCTTTTCTACTCTCTCATACATAACACATACATCCTTTCACATTGCGTATGGCTTTATCCTTTTATTTACAACCTCCTTTTACCCCTTGCCTATTAACATTCCCATGTTCAGCCGTTTCTCTCTACTCACTTGTTTTACCTCTGTCCTGTTTCTTATTCCCTTTACCGTGTCCCTGTTTAATCCCCGTGTCTCCCTCATAAACCCTTCTTACCCCTCTTCCCCCACTTATTCCTTTACCCTTGTCCCTCTGCTCCTTCGTATTTCCATATCCCTGAGCTGATTCCCTTGTCCCCTCGCTTACAGCCTGTTGTATTCCCTGTCTCTCTTCTCATCCGTTTATCACTGGCCCTTGTTCTGTTAATCCCCGAGGGTTTTGTTTATTTGTGTTGGAGCTGCTTTTACAGCTTGCGACTGACCCCACCTATTTTCTCACCAGTCATTTGAACAGCAGGGCTGCTTTGCAGCTACTCCACCAATTAACATACCATTAGCATAATATTTGCATGTGTGCATTAGGGTGTTGATGGGGAGAGAAAATAACAGTTTTACAGGTTTTTTTTTTCTTGTCTCAAAAAAATATATATTTCATGGAGTGACGTAAAAGCGCCCACAGGCTTCTTTATCTCGCTTTGATACTGCTGCTCAGTGAGCGACATCATGTTTTCAAGTTTGCTGTGAAAAGTTATGTGGCTCTTGTGTGATTGGCCCACCTACACGTTAACATCTGTGATTATCACTTCTGCTCTTCTAATTTGTTATATCACGATTATGTTTTGATCAATCTGTCAATCTTTTTAGCTCTTTTTAAAATAAATGAGGAAAACAGTGCATGGATCATTTCTGCAAAACACAAAAAGACAGACATTTTGTTAATGTGTATTTCATGTGTAGGGTAATGTTCCAGTGACACTATTATTGAACTATGTAAGTAAAGTCAGATCACTGAGGTCAAAGGTCAAGAAGAGAGGAGAGTAAGAATGCAACCAAACACAGAGGAAGGCTTATGAATGAAAGACACACATCATTGACAAAGAGCCACAAGAACAACACTCACAGGCCCAACATGCAGATGTATGAAAGGAAATAAACAAATTCATTGGTTTTGATGGAGACAGACAGGCAGAGAGGGGTGAAAGTAGGCCAGCTCCTGCCGCCGCTGATGAAGCCGGTGAGTGTTTCATGTAGAGAGTGGCGGTTGAGCAGAGGGGCGACGTGTCAGAGGCGTCGAGCCAGTTTCCCAGTCTTGATTGGGGATCAGCCCGCGGGCCTCGCTGTTCCGCTGCGTGCCACGCCTGTCCCTCACACACCGCCGCTCTCAGATCTGTCACATTAGGGCCGTCGCTCAAACACTGACGGCGCTTTGTGATTGTTTGTCTCGTGTCATGCTGATTACTTTGCTCATTGAAACCCCACTGGAGGAAGAGAGAGGAAGTCACACCCAGCAACGAGGCTAATATCCGCTTGGTCATCGGCCACGTTTTCTTAAACCCGCCCAGTCACATCGAGGCTCGTCTCGTGTTGCATCAACCCTTCTCCCCTCCAGAAACAACAGATGCCAGATACAACCGATTGAACATAATCTGTCCTGTTTGTATTTAAGACACAAGGACTGAGCAGTGCTGTCATGTGATAATGTGATATGTGCTACATATGAACTGTCACACATTAATCCTACGTGTAAAACTACTCACACTTAAATCATGGGAAATAAAGTAACTGGGTGGCCATCTGCCAAAATGATAAAAAAATATATATTTAATATACCATATGCTTGCATATCTCTATTTTATTTTGCATCTCAGCATCTTGTTACTTTATTTTTATGGTTTGAGTGCAGGCACTTTCTGATATGGGATTACTTTATGGACTCTTAATGCATCAGACACCTAATATTAATGGCCAGGCACAGAGCCTCTTCTCACATTTTTTAGCATCATTGAGAATGAGGGACGACTGATGAAATATTTGAAAAATTTTGCAGCTTAAGTACTTTGCTGAAATCATTTTTATGAGACTTTTATGATCGCCTTTTTTTCTGGTGTAATGATGCTGCAGTTTGTGTATACATTAGTATGTTAGAAGGGGGATTAGCTTTGCTGCCAGAATCAAAGATGAAAGAATAAGAAACAGCGCTAGCAGATAAACACGTATTTGTAATAATATGTGGTTTTGGGGCTTGAATTAATAATTATAAGCCTTTTTGCACTTCTATTTGCCACCGGAATCAACTAGACAATAATGGATTATTATGGAGCCTCGATTCAGGCTTTTTTAATATTTATTTTTTATTTTTTTACATAAAACCATATTTAAACTGTTTTCTTTATATTTTTGCACATCATAACCTGAGTATTGATTAGATTCCCAGTGTCCTGCCTGTGTTCTTTGTATTATGTCTGCAGCAGTAAAAGATATAAAAAAAACCATGTTGCAATATAGTCAAATTTTATTCTAATACCATGGTTCATATTTTTAATTCCACTTTACAACTCTGTATGGGTGTGTGTGTTTAGTCCTACCTCCTGCATTGTGAAATGTGTGCTCTCGCAGTATAAATGCAGTTATATATAATGTCTAGCAGGCCTGTTGGCCCCGGCTGCTCTGCTGCACTCAGCTCTCTAACTGCTCTTGTCTCTGTATAATCCCCCCTCCTCATGAATACATTAACGCCGGAGCCTTAAACTCAGCTTAGCTGGCGGCTCAGCGTCACAGCACATCCTATTACCGACTTTAAATCATTAATGTGACATCGTTTTCACTCAATTTCCAAACACCCACGGTCGAAAACTGCATATTTCACCGAGCCGGCGCAGAGAGAGGGCCGCGCTCAAAGTCACACAGTCGACCAGACGCATGCGCAGAGGAGGCGTTCAGACAAACAGATTTTTTTTCTGTGGGATTTACACAAACAGAGAAAGTTAGAGCAAATTAAATCTTATTGAGAATATGCACAGCAAAATACGAACAGGCATTCAAATGGAAATCTGTAATAGTTTTCACTCCTTTGTCTCAACTATTGTGATTGAAATAGCCAGTGGATAATTGTGGTTTAAGCTGAGCTAACTCCTACAGTACACCTTAGGGTGTGTGTGTGTGTGTGTGTGTGTGTGTGTGTGTACAGTAAGTATGTGTGTGAGTCTAGCCACCGTTTGCTTCCTCCAGCGTCTCGTGTAATGCTGACAATAAAGGAAAAAGAAAAATCTGAATCCCCTTTCTTGCTCTTCAACTATTCACACATAAACCTTTTCTCAGGTTTTTACCTTCAGGCTGCCTCTGAAAAATTCACAACGCCCAGAGTACTAAGTCCTTCACTTACCGTAGGAGTTGTGGATCTGCCCCCATCGTGCCTCTTTATTGCATCAAAAGGGCTTTTTTTGTGTGAAGCTATGGTAATTAGCAAACCACGTAAACTCATCTCCTCGGAGTGCATTTAACTGTTTTATGCGCAAAGCATCAGAGCGGGCGGTGGGGGTTGATTGCTGGAACATATGGACACAGATGGGGACAGCATTTTAATGGGCGCACTGAGTGGGGTTTTGTGTTTTTAACCCTTGAAAGTGGAGGCATGAACATCCTCAACATCCTAAAGCGAGCATCAATTAAAGATTTGCTTTTAAACCGGCGACAGCAGCACAGGCGGCTGGCATCCGGCGCTTTGGCGGGGCTTAGTGAGGCAGTCAGGGTACACAGCCTCCCCTTCTTTTTTTTGGTTTGTTTTTGTGAGTTGCACATTTGCACACACACACACATTTCATCACTCACCCCCTTCCTCCCTCCCCTCTCCTCCCATGTCCCTTGTTGTGCTTAATTAGGTTATCAGGTTGCTAACGGGTCGTGATTCGGCTCCGAGTCTCCCAGCTGGCCCTCTGATTGGAGGGGCAAGAAGGTGGACTTAGCATAATTAACACGTTGTTATGGAGATGATTGAATTGTTCGGTGACACATGGGCAGTGCCACCGCTGTGATGGCTCACATTGTGTCGCTGAGCGGAGGACGGAAGATGTTGAAGACTTTTTGAGACGAAAACAAAACACAGGTGGAAAACACCAGAATAGATTTTATATGCATCACCTGTTCATAATGTGAACAACTGACTGAACTTAGTTCAGTTCCACACTTTGTACACATCTACTCATCCATTTATCTTTTTGCTTTTTTTTAATATCACATAAACAAGCGTGGATGCATTCACTGTCCTCTCCACCGATGGTATTTCTGCAGGTTTTGCTGGACCTTTTAAACAACGAGCACATGGCGGTGTATATTTGTATGTTTATGTGAATATGTTGGAACTGTAAAGCCATTGTGTGAATGTATGTGTGGAAGAAAGAAGTGACCAGGACCAGCACAAGTTTTACCGAACACATTGCTGTCTTTATTAGAGCCTTGTCTGGCAGTAATACTGAAAAAAAAGTGAACTTAGAACAGATGGTGGTGGCAGCCCACGGCTTTTTTTTTTTTCCTGTTTTTCTTTATTTCTTTGATATTTTTCTTCATTTTTTTTGTGTGCGAGTACTGCGACTCTTGCTTTTCTGTGGCATGGATAACATCAATAAAAGAGACAGTAGGGAGAGAAAAAAGAAATATACAACTTATATTACACTGTGTTATGAACAAAATATAAATCTATAACTCTATGTTATATTTACATAATTATCTTTCTTGATTTTTCAAGTTGAGATGGTAAGATATTTTTTTTTAACTAATAATTATTACTTTGTTTTGAGCTCCACTCATGACTTTGATTGTCTTAAATAATATCATCATCATCATTTTCATTGTCTTGATATGGGGACAGACCTTGCCAGCAGGGATGATTGACGTCTTAATGCCCCACCCACCCACCTGATACCCTAAAAATGGATTGATCCACTTAGTCCCCTCTCAGCCCCCTCTCTCCAGCATTGGGTTGAACCATGGCGTGATAACAGGGGTGACTATACAGCAAAAGTAGGACCCAGAGGCTCATTGTGTGGCATGTAGCAAACATCTACAGCGAGAATGATTGTGGGGATCACTATGTGGCAGCACACCTGAAGAGTAGTCATGGCTCTCGTAGCGTCGCGTGGAGCTAAAACAAAGCAAAGGGCTCCTGATGAGAAGTGACTTTAAAGATACTGTAGATACGCCTGGTCCGTCTCACACACTCACACACAGTGGAACACCCTTGGTGGATCAAGGTAAACACTGCTTTCCTATGATTTAAAAAGAAGAAAAACCCACCAAACTAAATATATATACAGGATTTTAAATCTAGAATTCTAGATTTTCAAGAAACAGAAGAATGTCAGCATAGGATTTGTTTGGTTGTCATGATAATCTCTTCATTTTAAATGTGTGTGTGTTTGTGTGTGTGTGTTAGTGATTGTGATTGTGATTGTGCATGTGTATACTGTGTGTGTGTGGATCCAAGCCAAAGATGTTCCACTGTGCCTCGGTGAGGTGGCCAAACTAGTAAACGGGGACGGGACTCTTTGTTCACAGAAAACAGTTTCCAAAAGTGATAAAACTGATTTCCAAAAATAAACAAAAACAAAAACAAAAAAGAGCAAAATAAAAGAGAGGAAACTTCACATTATACATTATAGTAACCATTACAAATAAAATTATAATAACAATAAAAAAAATCATGTTCTTCTTTTTCTCTGACTGCACAGAGTCTGAGTGCTTTTTAGAAATGGGTTTGGACATGAAAAGGTTATGTCTTCAGCTCGGAGGAGGGCTGGCGTCGAGTCTGTCAGTCCAGCTCACTGTCCTAACTCCGCCCACCCACCCGTCCGGAGGATTAATACAAAACGAACGCCAAAAAAGAAGGGAACATAAGAATGCAAAACAAAGCAAGGTAAAATGACAACTTTTGTTTAGATCTAAATACCTACCAGCTAAATAGAATAATGTTTCATTGACTGTCATAGTTTCATATGGTCATAAAAACCCGATAAAGAGGAGAAAAATAAATTATACTGTACATAACTTACTAAACTTAGGAAACGCTGACCATCCTTATAATTATTGTTAATAATATTATTAGATTAGAGGCAGTTTGAAGAGAAAAAATAAAATACAGTATTCAAATACAAACAGAAACACTGACTGGCTGACTTCACCTCGGCTCCGCCCACTGGGCACAGCAGGACGATGTTGATTGGAGGGAGCAGGAAAACACTGAGGGACAGAACAACAGTTGTGTGTGTGTGTGTGTGTGTGTGTGTGTGTGTGTGTGTGTGTGTGTGTGTGTGTGAGAGTGTGTATGTGTGTGTGTGTGTGGTACAGTAAGTAACAGCAGCAGTGTACGTTGCCTGTCTTTCTGTATCCTAAACTTAGTTATTTTTTTTGCCTTTCTTAGATAGATGTGACGCACATGTGCAAACAGCCTATGGATGAGTACACACGGCACACCGACACACACTCACACCGTCGGATGTTTCAAGCTAAAGTCGTACTGATGTTTTGTCCTGGACGAGATTGTGATAAGAGGGACGGAGCAAGAAGAAAACTGGTGGATTGTCTCACAACACAGTGCTTTCGTTTCTGCTCCAGGATGCCAGAGAGACTCCCCTTCTCCCCCCCTGAAAATCCCTCGAAGTGGGACAGTCCACGCTGTACTGGTCAGTCCTGACTGGACCGTCCCATCGGATTCCAAATAAAGGGGGGGAGCCGGCAGTCACAAAAACACAGAAAAAAGGGGGCGAACTGCTGACAGCACACTGCGAGGTCGAAGAAAAGATATGTTCTTGTTAAAAATAAACATGTCTGATGTCTTTCAGGTGCTTTACAACAAAAGGGGAAAAAAAGAAATGTCTCTTTTTTCTATTATTATTCAAACTTGTAGCACAAAAACAACAAATCACATTCACAAGCCACTTATTGGCACCGTGTACCTGAGTGAGAATATTATAGAACCAAAGAACAAAAAAAGCTGTTTTTTTTAAAAGTGTCTCTTGATAATAAACAGGTCCGCCATCTTAAAGTGTCATCTGTTAGCCTTTGACAGGTCCACTGTTCCGCCTTTCGTTTTAAAATGTCTCCTTTTTCTACAAACGGGTCTAAAAGGTTGCTTTCTGAGTGTGATTTTTATTTCTCCTCACTCGTGGCATTACACTCAAACTCTTGCAGTAGTACTCGAATATTCCTCAGCAAGCTTAGGGCTGGCTTGGTCGTCTCTTCCTCCCAGACTCCAGTTTGTGTAACAGTCAGTGTGAGTGACAGGTCCTGTGCTTCAGTTGATTGATCAGATGCTGGTATCAGGACTCCAGTGGGAGGAGGGTTGCGGGTCTGGCTCTGTTAAAAGAGTCTATGTTAGTTATGAGGGGGAGAGGGGGGCAGGGGGGTTGTGAGATTGGGACACAAGGTGATTGGCAAAAGAGAAAGTTTTCTTCCTGATTGGTGGGTTTGGGATTGTGTGGGATTAACCAGCTGTGATTGGCTTATAAAAAAGGCGGCTCTCACGCCGTTCTATTGGGTGATATGGTTGTCATTATCGCTGGCGTAATCGGCCTCTTCGTCCTCGTAGTCGAAGTCGTCGTACACGTCACCGTTGCTGTCGTCCAGCCGTAGCTCCTCCTCCTTGATCCGTGGCTCGTCCCCCTTCAAGCCGATCATATGGGGGTTCTGGTGGTGGTTGGCGTTGGGCTCGGGGCTGCTGGACATGCTTGAGTGCTCTGAGGGCATTTGGGGTGAGGGCATTCCCGCCATTGACAGGGCACCTGGGTAAACCACGCCTGCTGAGGACAAGGGCAACTGGCTTTGCTGCCTGTAACACACACAGAAGAAGTATTTCAGTACAAGAAACGCAGCATTCAAACTACTGAGACAGTTTCTAACAGTTTAAAGGAATATTTCAACTCATTTTCTTAATACCAATCACTGTACACTAAATGTGAAGCTACGGCTAGCAGACAGAAAAGGAAACAGCTAGCCTGGCTTGGTTCCTCTAAAGCTCATTAATTAACACGTTATATCTGTTCGTTTAACGCGTACACAAACTGAAGTATAAAAATGTGAAGTTGCAGTTTTATAGAGGGGTTATGAGGCAGACTACTTCTTAGCCGAGGACAGGTTGGGAGACAATTTTTTACAGCTTATATTATTATATTGTAGTTAGACTGATTTATTGAGACAAAGGAAATTACATCAACTAAATCCTAAGGAGATTTCATTAGTAAAACTAAAAAAGTAAAAAAAAAAGAAATTTAAAGTAAAAGTAAAGTAAAACAAAAAAAACAAAAAAATAATAATTAGAAAAATGAAATCAATAACCTGATTTTAAACCTTGTGGTTGGTGTTGATTTATTGAACATTTAAGGCACCAACATAAAATCAAATATACACTGATGCTCAAAGAATTTTGAGTTTGAGTTTTTGCTTTTGCTTGAATCTGATATCCATCATGAGATGTGAAACCTGCTCTGACAAAAAATCTAATTCAGTCAAATAAAGTAAAACAACAAATTCTATTTATGTGATAATTAGATAAATGCTAAATCCTAACAAAGACAAATTAGTTCCCCTCATCAGCTCCCTTACCCCACACTGAAATATTGTCTCATTTCCTGTCTGCGGGACCTCATGATGGCCTTGTACTCGCCGATGCGCAGCTTCTTGCCGTCCACCAGGCAGGTGCGTTTGGGTCGCGGCTTGTACTTGTAGTCTGGGTATTTCTCCAGATGCTGCTTGCTGAGGCGAGCCTGCTCCTCATAATAGGGCTGCTTCTCCAGGTTGGTCATGGCTTTCCAGCGTGAGCCTAGACAGGGACGCATTATAATAATGATCAGTTTCAGTTCTGCACCGTTTCTTCTATGGAAAATGGCTACAAAGACCTTTACACAAGAGTAGAAAAAAAAGGAGGTTTATGATCATTATATAGAAGCAAAACGATACAAATCAGTTTGAAGAAGGGATTTAAATCGAGCATGTTCGCCGGCTTTAAGATCAATTACATCGTGTGTGAGGAAGGACTATGTGTGTGGCACGCGTGACCCTGCATCACATGTGCATACCGACACACGTGTGACGGCATTTAAGCACAGCACTTACACACATCCACAAACACACAGACACACGCACACACACACACACACACACACACACACACACACGCACACAAAGATAATGGTAGGAGTTTCACCCGGAAAGAGAAAGCGAAATAGAGAAAGCAGGGTTAATGAGGAGAGTGGTGAGGACGACAGGTACTCATCTATACTAATGAGGACTTCACTTAACCTGCCGTCGTCTCGCTCAGCTCAGTTTCTGCTCAGAGGGTTATAGTATCAGACCCCTGCATGTGTGTGTGTGTGTGGGTGGGTGTAATCTTGAGCATGTCTTCCCCTGTGTGTTTCATATCTGGTCTGAATTTGCACTTGACTACTGTATGTTTAATGGGTAAAAGCTGTCAGCACTTGGCTGTTCTCTCTCTCTGTCTTTCTCTCTGTTCTGAGATCTGTTAGCAATCGAGAGAGAGAGAGAGAGAGAGAGAGAAGAGAGAGAGAGAGAGAGAGACAGAGAGACTGAGAGAGGGGGGGCTTATTAAAACCAGATTTCCCTGTGTTATAAAACGCTTAGGAGCTCTTTAAAATGTCAGGGCCGATCCCGGCGGTCCGGGGGAAATGTCAGGCGGCCTCGCGCTGCTTGTTTAATGCATAATGAATTATATCATCATTTGTCGGAGCCGTGCTCTCCCCAGCCGTTCATTAACAGCTGCTTACACGATGCCACTGCTTGTAATGAAATCACTGTGTGTGTGTGTATCTGTGTGCGCTCGAGAAAGCGGGAAATAGAACCCGCAGTGCATGCATCTTTCTCTCGCTTGGGTTTGCGTAGCAGTGAGTAAGGTGACAAGAGTGGGGCTTCTGTCACTCAGAACAGACTGTGTGTGTGTGTGTGTATATGTGTGTGTCTTACCGAGGATCTTGCTGATGTTGGAGTTGTGCATGTCTGGGAAGGCCTGGAGAATCTTTCTCCTCTCGTCCTTGGCCCAAACCATGAAGGCGTTCATCGGCCGCTTGATGTGCGGCTCGGCGCTGCCGCGACCCCGAGCCTCCCGGAATATTCTGGAGTCTGACACGCTGGGGGAGCCTGAGGGGGAGGAGGGCAAGGTGATGAGAGGCAGACAAAAGCCAAACACTTAAAAACACATGTAGACATGAAGTAGGTAGTTTACAGAAAATCCCCACTACATTATGAAAAAGTAAAAAGAATTATCTTCAAATTCTGAGATTTTACATTTTTTTTAATTTAAACTGAAAGATTAAATATTCCTTAATGGGTTGGGAGAATTATTTTGCCTTTTAAGATTAATAAACCATAACATTTGACATCCAATACATCCTCATAAGAGTATACTGTTGATGGAAACTGGAATCAAAATGAAGAATTAAGAATCACATTTTCCAATCCTTCTTTATAGAAATGTGAATTTCCAATCTAAATGACCACAAGCATGTGTGTGTGCGTATGTGTGTGTGTGTGTGTGTGTGTCCCTACCGTCAGAGTCGCTAATGGAGAAGTCTATCATGGCATGGCTGAACTTGTCCTCCGCCTGCTGCTTCAGCTGTTGACTCAGACTCTCCAAGGCAGCCTTGTCCTAAACAACACAAACAGTTCACAGTTGCAGTCGGTCAGTGAGTGAGTCAGTGAGTGTGAATATATGAATGGGTGAAATCACGGACCCAATTTACTTTTACACCCAAACACATCATTCTTATAATTGATTTGAAGTTTTTTGCCGTCAAGTTTTTATATATTATATTATTTATTTCATAGTTTTAGCTAAAAACACTTTAATTTAACCACAGAAATTATATTAGGTGCCTGTTGGCCTAAATCTGTTCGCAAGAAAATCTGTGTCAAAGATGTATAAACTCCTTCACAGTAGAAACAAATTAATCAATGAATCATATTCCCTTTTAATCGGAAATAAATCAGCGAATAACCGTTTTTTATAAATGGATCTGAACAAACAAATAACAGCAGCGATTTCAGGAGACAGTTTGTGTTTTCGATGTAAATTTGCGGGAATGTTAATGTCAACATCAAATTGTTAGAGTGCTGTACGCCTGCATGCTTGAACACACATCTGTGTCCATGTTTGCATGTGCAAGAATGCTGATTACATTTAGTCCTGTTTGGATGTTTACTGTTTTGTGTGAATACTGTATATTATGTGTGTGTGCATGAGTGTGTGTAGCAACTCCTGGCAGCCACCTGCGAGAGTGGAGTGCGGCGGCTTGCCTCTCTCTTGCAGAGGCCCCCGAGGGTCGACGCATTAGAGAGAGAGAGAACGAGAGAGTGCAGCGCGGACGAGAGCGAGGCCACGCCGCACGGCCCCCTGGGTATTTATTACAACCAATAAAAGGCTGATTTACTGAGCATTTACATGCTTAATGCAAGCAGCCGGCACACTCTGCGCTGGAACCTGACTGTCGACGAACGCACACACTCACACACACACACACACGGCGGTGCACCAACGCCAGCGTTTTACAGTTTAATTATACGATTAGGAGCGGTACCCAAAACACTGTCGTCTTCTAAAACAACCTTCCAAAAAGTGTCCCTCTCCATTTACATGTGACCCTGGCGAGCTGGCTGGCTGGATGGAGGGAGGGCAGAACGATAATGAAATGCATTTTCTCTGTTTTTAGTCCAACAGAGTTTAATTGTTAGAGATAATTTCCCCCCCAGATTGGAATAAATACGACTAAAAAGACAGGAAGGGGAGGGGGAGAACATGAGGCAGAGGCATGCTGCCGCCTTTCCTGTTTTTTTGCAAGTCATTTAAAAAGTATTTTATTTTGAATTTATTACGTTTTAATAAATGAACAATAATCTGCCAGTGGGTTGGAACGATTTAGTCATTTTGTATGTAAATCAGAAATATGTTCACACAAATGATGAGCCTCATTCAAAGCTCATTCAAGGAAAAAAAAAAGGAGCAAAAATGTGTTTCACACTTTTAGCTTTTAAGCTTCAATGTGCTGTTACAAAGGGTTTTTTTGCTGCGTGTGTGTGTGAGACAGAGACGGAGATGAACGGGGAGACAGAGTGGATGACAGGCTAGTCTGACATTAAGCCCCAGTACAGTACATGAGAAAAGTGGATTGAATGGCTGACACTGGAGCCAAGACACAAAGTAGCGACAAAACTAATCCTCTGAGTGTGTCAGGGATGACACTGTTGTATCTGAACGCCGAGAGCTCGCCGGCTTCACACTCACGCAGCACAAAGCCAAAGGGCCGTGGAAACAGGAGTGAGTGTGAGCCGCGTGGCTTCGAAAGCTGAGAAGGACTCTTTTTTTCCATGATTTTAGATTAAAAAAGATTTTATAATATTAGACACATAACTCTACATACAAAACATATATTCTCATTCTTAGTTTAACATGAAAAAATACATTTTTCTGGTAAAAATATATTCCTCAATAAGGCTGTAAAAATTGGTTTAAGAGTAAAACATTACTTTTTCACCCCATTAGACTAAAATCGTATATGATAGCACACACCAATTAACAAGAAATGACAAAAATCATATAATAAAATTATGTCTGGTATTTTATTATCCCCTGCAGTGGATTGAAACAGCTAAATACCTCCATCTAATGCAATGAATGTGTGGAACAAGCTGTGAAATATGCTCCGGAAAAATCTCCCGATGTTCCTTCACTTCACAGCAGAATTGATCAATTTCCCTGACTTCCCCTGGTGTGAATCTAATTGGCTATTAGACTGAAGCCTTTATACTGTATCTACAGTATATTACTATGTACACTCTGTCTAAATGTGTACATAAAGCCTGGGTTGAATAAGATCAGTGTGGGCTTGACTGTTTGAAACACATCAGATGAGAGAGTAAAAAAAATAAATAAATAAAGGAAGAAAGAGACGGATAGAGCTGTTGAATGTCAGCTGTGCAGATGCTTCAAGCACACTGTTGCTCTGTGTGTCTGTGTGTGTGTGTGCGCGCGCGTGCACCAGCTGACTCCCAATGTGTTTAACAAATAACCACAATTTAGCCACGCTGCCGAGGAGCCGGCGCCGTCACTTCACATTACCGTCTCCCTGACGCGGCGCTCTGCCACACACACACACACATACACACACACGCACACACACACACACACACACACGCACACAGCCCCACAGTGCGCCTTACAGACACACTCATTACCTCCGAGACGCCTCTGGTTTTACCTTATCTGGCCCTGTTTAGCTTCAACACATTTCAGCGAGCACATTGTACACCGATTTACCTCCTACATGGTGCAGTAAGGGATGGCATATGGCAAGACAAATTATTACACACTGACAATGAGACGGTACAGCTTGTGATGACTTTGGAGACTTTTCTTCTGCCTTTTTTAAAAAATGAAATAAGACCTTTGGAATCAGTTGTATATATTTTTTTTTACTGAGATCAAACACACTGTAAGGATATCCATATGTCTCCCTTTAGTTTTGATGCTATTAAGTGGGTGGGATTCATTTGTCATAAAAATCCTCATATCATAATTTAACAGATGCAAGAAAGAAACTTATCAATAAAAACTGTGTGCACTGCATTTCAGCATATATTTTCACCCGAAGGGCGGAGCAAATATAAATGAAGACTTTAAACTAAAGGTACTAATATGGACATTTAAATATAATGTCTAAAATATTAATACAATGCAATATTATTGTATAACAGCGCATCATTTAATGTGTCAGCTGACCTTTTGAACTTCTGTTGATGTGACTTGAAGTTGAACTCTGCTGTAACACACATTGTGACCATCAAATCTAATGATTTCACATTCTATACTATACTGCTATAAGTTTTAATGTGGAGAAAACCCCTTTAAAAACCTAGATTTAATCCTTTGGGGGCAGCTGTCACACTTTGTCGCCTGTTGCTAAGGTTACAGCACAATTCGATGCCACGTACTGTTATATGGATGTGATTTCAAAGCGGTTTACCTTGTCCGAGCGTCCATTGTTGAGGCTGAGGTTGCTGACAGCTGCGACCTTGGCGTCCAGGACCTGCTGCTCTCTCTTCAGCTGCTCCTTCATCTGCCGGGCCTCGGCGAAGGCCTTGGTGACCGCCTCGTGGTCGTTCAGGTAGGCTGTGGAGGACAGCGTGGACAACAAGTCTGCTGAGACACAGACAGAGACACACACAGACACAGAGAGAGGGCGAGCAATTAATTTAGTTTTGCATTAACAGTGAATAAAAATGTTCTTCAAGTGATTAAAGTCGAGTGTTTTTTTGTATTGTTATTTATTTGTTTATTTATTCATTATTTACTTGTTATTTAAACAGCATTTACAGTTGATCTTGTGTGTGTGTGTGTGTGTGTTTGGGAAGCTGGCAGGAGGTTTTTAATGCAGAATAAACCTTCCCCTGAACCATGAGGTAAAGACATTAACATACACACACAGTTGATGAGGGGCATCTGTGTGTGTGTTCGAGCCTGAGAGAGGGAGACAAACACACACACACACACACACACACACACACACACACACACACACACACACACACACACACACACTGACCACTTGACTGTCGAGTTGGGCATGTGAGTCAGAGAGTGCCCCCGGCTAGCCTTGCTACAAGCTGCCACCGCCTCCCCACCTGCCCTCAGCCGTAAACACACACACACACACACACGCACACACACACACACACACACACACACACACACACACACAGAAAGACAAAAACTAAGAACTCAGACACAGACACTCACACACAACTTCAACCCCTGGACTTTAAATCCCTTTAAAACACTCACACACACACACACACACACACACACACACACACACACACACACACACACACACACACACACACACACACATCTCTTTTCATCTTTATAGAGAGGTGGCCAGATGACTCTTATTACAGCTAAAAAGTCCTGCTAATTTCCCCAGTTGAGAACATCTGTCCTGCTGCCGAACACAGATCACATCTCCCCACTCCTCCTCCTTGCCGCCTATTATTTGTATTATTTCCGCAGCTTAGCCGCCGATGAGGCATCTGAGGCATCTGCTCCGACTGTGTGTGCGTATGCGCAATGTTGTGTGCGCCGCTATCGCCTCTCTCTATCAGTCGGGTTAGCTCTTAACAAAGAGCTGCGGCCGGCTTATGGGGCCTTTATCAGCGCTAATCCGCACCGCTAATGCCATCTCAGGCCAGATTACCAGCTTCAGATTGGTAATGACAGAGCCGTGAACTCTTTCAGAAGTCATAACCGGAAAATCTGGATGTGAGTGGGGGCCAAAAAAAAGGGGGGTCGGCGGCAGTGGTGGTGGGTGTCAAGAGAGGACAGAAGAGGGAGAGCGGAGAGGGCGATGGAATCGGGTGGCAGTCAATTTTAATCTGGAGTCAAAAGAGAGGGAGGGGGGACAGATAGATATTCTTGCGCTCATGAATGTGTGTGTGCGTCTCGCTTGAACTGACAGCGATGCCAACCATCCAGACAAGTGAATGTGACCCAGATAGAAGGGGAGGAGGATTTCTTTCTCACTTTACACACACAAGTTTAGTCTCTCTGTGAGCGCCAAATCTGTACAGACAGCCGCAGTACATTTCTGACCACAAAAACACTCCGGCAGGGAGGTCAGGGGGAACTGCAGTGTTTTATGACAGGAAGACAAAGACAAATGTGTGATCGTGGTAGAAGTTACAGGCGCTGACAGCCCTTCAGTTTGGTTTGAGATGGGTAGACGGATGGATGGATGGACGGACGGATGAAGTAGGAGAAAAAGAAACGTGCCTTTGGGTCGGGAGGTGTCAGAAGAGAAAGAGAGGTGCACTGTGGAGAAGTCAGCAGAGACAGACAAACTGAAATTCATTTGGACACGAAGGGACGTAGTGGAAGGTGAAGCTACTGAAATTCATCTTTTTACCTGCAGATATGACCCAGATATATTCTAAAAGCCTTAGTGAGCGCTGAATAATCAGATCTTATGCTCTTTTACACTTATTCATAAGCTTGTATCTGCCATTTTTTCCAGGCATGCATCTTCATGACATACATTTATTCAAACTGAGCCTCATTACAAGGGATATGAAACTGATGTAATGTATGTTAAATGAGGACAGGCTCTTTTAAAGTCCAAATGAGCTTGTTAACTAGCAAAATTATACCAATTTAGCATTCAGACAAAAAAAAAATCATGTAATCAGTGGTGGAAGAAGTATTGAGATCCTTTGCTGAGGTAAAACTAGTTATACAACAATGAAAAAAACACTCCATTGCTAGTATTCAAAGTTTTACTTACGTAAATGTACATAAGTATTATAAACAAAATGTACATAAAGTATCAAAAGAAAAAGTGTGTATTCTTATATATTACATATTGTATTTTTTATTTTTTACGGATAATCATATAAAACCTGTTTCTTCAACATAAAACACCACTTAATCAGTCCCTCCCAGTTCAAAAATAAAATATTAAAAAATATGCATGTGATTTAAAATGGAAGAGAAAAAAAACACATAAAAATAACTTCTGTGTGCATTGCTGGGCACTGGGTTGCTCACTAGAGTTTTGCCACCTTTTTCATTTCCACTACATCCACAAAACGTGTCTGTTCTTGTTCCGGTCTGAATTTAAATAACCTGAACACACATTCATACTATGTGCCGCCCACACACACTCACTGCCACATCAAAACGACCGCCTCTAGACTCTTTTCCAATTTGTCTGCCCCCTCTATCCCCTCTGAACTTGTAACAGGAATCCTAATACGACTATGAAGCGTAATAACAAATGTGCTGGTGAGCGGCTAAACTCAGTGGCAACAGATGGGACCACGAGCTACAACATAACTGCGATATGCAACACAAAACACACTGGTCTCCACACACAAATAATTCAGTAGGGATCACACACAAACTTTAAACACTGTAATCCATTTTTCTGAACAAAAAACATCTGGGACCGCAAATCCACTAATCTGATATTAAATCCACCGATTTGTTGAAAAACAGTGAGATTAGCCAAGAAGTCAGAAAAAAAATGACTAACTGCCTATTGCATAGGAGGAGGAGGTGGGATTGTGAGCTTTTGTGTGCGTTTGAGTGTGTGTTTGAGTGTGTGTGCTGTCATTGTGTCATTAATGCTGGGTGTTTGCGCTGTCCTGGCTCATGTAAGAGGCTTGTCTAATCTCATTGGTGATACCTCCTGTCTGTCATGCGCTCCTCTCTTTATTATTCCCCCGCTTCATCGCTCGGGAAAGTGCTAATCCCCATCTCTCTCTCTCTCCTTCCCTCCTTCCCCTCACTCCTATGTCTCTCGGTCTCTTTCAGTCACTAATAAACACATAACAATGAAGCAGCCCGGAGGCAAATAGCGACACGCAGGAAAAACACAAACACACTAATTATAGCCTGTTACATATGTGTAATATTTGAACTATCAGTGTTGCGTGAAAAATGGATTAAGAGTACAAAATAGTCATAATCATTTATGTCATATTTTATGTATGTGTGCATATGGCCGGGTATGATTATGGTACTGGCACTGGCAACAATGGCAGCACCACGAGGAAAATGCTATTTTTGTCTTCCCCCACTACCAGCAAGGCTATTACTGTTTGCCTTAAACACGTACATTGTGATTATTGCAAAAATGCTTTTTAGAAAAGTGCATTAAAGTGTGGGAACACTTAAAGGAAAATAGGGGTTTATTACAACTGCTGAAATCAGAGAAAACCTGACCTCTCTGATCATCAGATGATCCTTTAACCTTTCCAATGGTGTGCATGTGCGTGCGATGGATACTTAAGTCCACTTACCAATTGAGCTGACTCTGGTCGGTGGTCCTCCGATGCTGGAGGGGCCGACGCTGTGCTTCATGGAGCCGGCATGGCCCAGCTTGGTGGCGGCAGCAGCAGCAGGGACCTGTGGGGAAGTTGGGGGGGAGTTGGGTGACTTGCTCTCGGATGCCTTAGGCTTGGCCGACAGGTTCAGTGGCTGTGCACCATCACTGTCCTGCAAAAACCAAAACAGCACAGTTTCGCCTGCTGTGACCACCGTAGGAATTTGGGAGTGGGAGGCAAGGGGAGGGGGTCCTCCCCATTCCTCACAGAGACCACTCGCAATGGCGGCTTTAACACGTACCAATTAAACGGGAGCCCATGCACAGCAATCTAAGGCAAGCCTGGTGGGACAGATGACGAGGTGCATGCCACTGCCCGTATCCAAACAACTCATCGTATGCGAGACAATTAGCAGCACAGACGAAAATAAAGAAAATTTGGTGCAAACCACTGACATTCACATGCAAAATAACTGACTTCCTATCACAGCGAAGTCGAGACAATTCATGCAGATGCATGTGCACACTCCACATGCAGGCTCCTGTAAACATGCACTGTAATGCTGCTCCTCGACATGCTTCAAACAAGGCCAACGGTACGAGCAACAATTAAACACCTGAGGAGAAGAAACACCTTGAAATCATTCTCAAAACTACAGTGGGCGTCTCTGTCTGGTTTTCACAAACAATAACACCTCCCTGAGACTGTCTTTACAGCTGTGAGAAAGACACAGTGACATCTCAATGTATAAAACAGCAAACAGAACAGAGGACTGTCTGCCACTTCAATGTGCACTTGCTCCATTAGAAACAAGGGACCTTCATGGATGTGAACATGGGAGTGTGTGGAGGAAAGAGCACAGCAGTACTTTATGCCTCAACGACACACACAGCCCCAGCAACCAATCAATATCTTTTAAAGAAGCTCTTTTTACAGATCCATGTTGTTGATACCAACAGTACTCCCATAAAGTATGCCAAACAGTATTATCATGTCTATATCGTCAAATTCAGTCATTCATCTACATCAAAAGGTGTCTGCGCACAGCGATAACCTCAGTGCATGTAACAGACAGTGGCCCCTAAATGAATCGGCATGTGGACCACCGCGCGACGCCAGGGGCTGTTATCATGTTAATTGTCATGGCAACACCACCCCTGCCGATGACCTAATCCAATCAGCGGGTGAGCCTCGGAGGGTCACATGACAGGAAGGAAGGAATTAGATCGCCGAAGGGCCAGATGTACAGAGACCACTCCGTGTAATTAAAACTCCTCAATTAAAAGACAGACACAACATGGGGCCACCCGAATAGATGCACAGCAACAGTGTCTGTGAGGTTTAGAAATACACTTTGTTTGTTGTTTTACTTTTTATTATTAAATGTTCTTAAATGTCCATTTTATAAAACCGAATTAAAGGGGACTTTATTTATTACAGGTGTGGTCCTATTATAGCTAAATTTAAACCATAGAACAGAGACATTATTTTCTGGTCATTAGTCTAATTGCTGCTTAGGAGGGGTAGAATCCAACATACAGTGAGATCCAAAAAGAGAGCAAGTACTGTGTGTGTGTGTGTGTGTGTTGTATATCCACTCATTAAGACCGACTTTCCCTGATTCCCACTCCTTGAGTCGTACTAAGCCTTATGAGCCCCTCACAACTCAATTAAGCCCTTCCAATTAAGCCCCTACATGTGTACGTGCCTATGTGTGTGTGTGATCGCCACTTTGTGTGCACGTGCGCGTGCATGTGCGATGAGGCCTAACCGGATTGTCCTTCATTAGGGGGGTCTTTCTAAATAGACCGAGGACCCCCAAAGATGCCTTCACTGAGACAATGGGCCGGAGAAGAAGAGGAGAGAAAGGAAAAGAGAAAAACTGAGCGGGATCTTCTCAATCCTGACCCATATTATGGCGGGCTTTGGCTGGAAACGCGTTTGAATATTTATTACAAATAGATAATGCCTCCGCCTCTTGCACAGTGGATGGGGGAGTCTCCCCTCCGCGCAAAGCCAAATCCTATGGTGGGAAGGTGGCCAACCTGCATTATGCCAGTGTGGAGGAATTAGTTTAGACAGTGGAGCTGAGAGGCTTGGACCGACTTGTTTGTGTGTTTGTGTGTGTGTGTGTGTGTGTGTGTGTGTGTGTCTCATCGCAAGACATTGTTCAACAAGCTCTAAATCTCATGACAGTGTGTGTGTGTGTTTGCGTGTCTGTGTGTGAGAGAGGCCTCTAAAGCCTCTGAAAGGCTTGGAATCTTGAATTATTACAATTGCTTTTGTGTCTCTCTTGGCTGATGAAACAGTCTCCAGCTTTGAGACAGAAAACATGCAGAGTGACAACGAGAGCCAGAGGGACAGAGAGGAAGCAGGAGGGGAGAGATAATGTGTGTGTGTGTGTGTGGGCTGCATTTCACTTCTGTGGATGCCGACATGTGCAAGGGTTCTGCATCTTATCACAGGAGCTGACGGTTCAATTAACAGGACAAGTGTGTGTGCCAGTACTGTTGATCCTGGGCTGGTTTCTGTGTGTGTTTTGGTGTGTGTGCTACAATGTCCATGTCAAGACCTTTACATGTGCCTCCCTCCTTTCATCTCCTTGTTTATCCTCCTCTCTTCCTTTCCTTCCAGCTATAAGTGACTGTTTGGATATTAATTATATTGTCATATCTAATTCTCTCAGACAGCAGATGACACAGGAGAGCCAGATATGGCACTGCTTCTTAGAATGTGTGGCACTGTAAATGCACTTCACATTTCTACTGATTGGTATTTTGAGAAAAGAGTAGATGTGACCTAACCTTGACAGTCTAGACTGGTTGTTTTTGTCTTTTTGTTTGTTCTGTTTTGTTGACTCACAACTGTCTTTGTTAATAATAATCATTAGATTCCGTTGCAAGACTTTTTAAGGTAGTGTCAACTGTAAATATATTTGATAGTTTTGCATAGGTATTCCTTTAAATGGTTTTACTTTTATGGTTTTACTGGGCTATGAAAGTAATGACACACTACATAATCTGAACAGACTGTATATACAAAGTTTATATGGCAAAACTAGCTCAGGATTGTTGCCAAAATCTCTTTGTTATTCTTCCAAAAATGTATCAATCAATAACAATAATACTGACAGCAGTTTGTCAGTTGCATATTGCAATTACATGCCTTATTCTCTGCATTTTAGTTGTTTCTCTGCATGTTAACTGTAGAATTAGCGTATACACACAAGTACAAGTAGTAATACTACCATGTAAATATACTGTGCAGCAGCTAAAATGTATGCTTTTACATTTTTGCTTTAGTAAAAGTACATTACTGTTATCAGAAAACATACTTAAAGTCCTTAAAATGCACATGTTTTTTAATAATGTATCTGGTCATGAAATATGTTAACAACATACTGGTTTTATCTATAACGATACATCAAATTTTATGAGCTGATTTGTATGTAAAATCTTGTTGTTACCGAAGAAAAGTACATCAAAATTGTTCTTGAGTACAGTACTTGAGGAAATGCACTTTCGGCCACTGCGTGTTTGTGATGCATGTCAGCGAATGGGCTACATATGGTGCATAATTTGAATTGCACTATTGTATGGGTGTGTATGCATGCCTGCCTACATCTGAAGATCCGCTCTTGCGTATGAGAAAGCTGCATGTATGCTGCAGTGATTTGTGCACGGGTATGTGTTTGTGTTTGTGTGTGTGTGCGAAGGGGGGGGCATGGTTTCTAGTTGGCATGGTGTCTTCTTCAACACCTGTGTGTGTGTATGTGTGCATTTGAGCACATGTGTGTGTGTCCGTGTCTCACCCGAGGGTAAAGCACTTAAGCGGTGTGTGCCTGAGTCCAAACAGCTGTGAGCAGAGGCAGACAGCGCGTCTCTAAATGACTAGAGACCTGAGATAGAGCCCACAGGGGGAGCACACCTCTGAAATATACATGTCACTCACCCAGAGAGAGGGAGAGAGAGAGAGAGAGAGAAAGGGGGGGGAGAGAGAGAGCGAGCTGCAGTGGTCAGCCTGAATGAAAGAAATCAAAAAAGGAAAAAGAAAGAAACAAAAAGAAGGAAAGAATTCTTTCTTGTTTCTTTTTCTTTTTTGATTTACTTCATAAAGAAAGATAAATATCTCTAAAATGCCACAGAGCACTTTTATAAAGTTTGTCTCTCAATGCTCACAAACAGTGTAAGTGCATGGGGGGAGTAAGACCGACACAGCGGTGCGATCAATTGGCCGGTTTGGCTCCATGGGGCCCCTCCTGTGCCATGTGCGTCCACTCCCTAGTCTGCCACTCCTGTTTGACTGGGGAGGCCATTATGGCTCCCCACTTCCCCTCCACCACAGGCCGCAGCACTTGCCTGTCAGCCCAACTCCATATATATGGTAATAAGACAAGTGTGTCTGTGGGGCTGGATGGTAGAAGTCTGTGTGTGTGTGTGTGTGTGTGTGTGTGTGTGTGTGTGTGTGAGTGATGGAGGTGTAGGGAAGGGGTTGATGGACAGGGAAGCAGGGGTGCGTGCTCTGGGGTCAACCGTAAGCTTTAATCCGTGCTTTAAACTAGAGTCCTGAACATGTGAGTGTGTGTTTATGGACACAGGAGTTGGCATAGGTCAAGAACAAAGTGGAAAAAAAGGTGATGAAGAAGGGTGAAGAAGTTGCAAATACCATAGGAAAAGATGTGAGAGTGGAAATAAGAAAAGGAAAAACAGAGGGGAAGAGAGAAGGGGAAAGTGAAGATATAGGAAGAAGAGGGGAGAAGAGGGGAGAAGAGGGGAGAAGAAAGGAAGGATACAGGAAAGGAGAGGTGAAAGAAAAGGAAAAGAAGTTGGGAAACTTTGATTTATGCGATAAAATGAGGGATTAAACACAAACCAGATTGTCTGTAGGAGTCTGATCATGTGTGTGTCAATGTCTGTGTGTGTGGATTTGTGACTGACCACTACACTTGTCAGGGGGTCCCAGGGTGACAGAGGGTGGCAGGGGGCATAAGGGGGGGGGGCGTTCTGTTTGTGTATGGGCTAGGGGGGTGGTGAGGGTCCCAACGGCTGACCAGATATTCATAGAATTCCACTTGGATGGGCACAAGGCTTCCCCTTCGCCCCTATTGTGCAGCCGCCCGAGAAAACGGCCCAAACACCGACACATCCTCCAATCCACTGCGATCGTACACCAGCTGGAGTTTGGTGATAAAGTTCGGCTGCTTGAATTGCAGAGGGGACTGCCACTGTTGTCAGGGACCAAGTTTTTATCTTACCAAGGTGTGCATTAGTATGAGAAGCTGACCGTTGCTAAGGACACGTGTTTGATTGAAAGAAAAAAAAAGAAAACAAAAAAAAAAAAAGGACAAGATTCGGGATGCAATGCAACCTTCAAACGACGCACAATTTCAGCACATGCACTGCGGTGGGACACAATCTTGTCCAGGCAGACATTCACTCTTTCAGTCTCTGTTGTAACACTAGAAAGGCCAATGTGTATGCAGACTGTCATTTCTGGGTATAACCGAGTCACAAAAATAAATATATATATTTTTTTTAAAGTGTAAAAATGTCCACATGTTTCAAGAATTTTAAGAAATTAGTTTTTTTATTAAAGCATTAATGGTAATTTTAGTAAATACTTGTGACCAGTTGATTTTCATTGTAAACAGGTGAATTTAGTGAACTGGCTTAAATAACTCAAATACTTGCATTTTGATGGCTAATTTAATTTCTAAATCAACGTCCTTTATGTCCTTTCATGTTATTTTCTATCTTGTCAGCCAACTCTCAAGTCTCTGAACCCACTGGCATTTCTAGTATTAAACACACAGATATACACACACACACTCACAGAGGACTTTGTTTTTTCCTCCCTTACCTTGGACTTGTTTGATGGTGGGGAGCTGCGGCCCTTCTCGCTCTGTGAGTGTGTGTTGGTGGGTGGGGAGTGTGTGCCCAGGTTGGCTTGCGGGGGCAGGCTTCCTCCGTGCTGCTTGGCCCCCGGGGAGACCTGCATGGCCGCCAGCTGAGCTGCATACAACTGCTGCAAGGTAAGTGAGACAGGTAGACAGAGAGACAGACAAGGGTTGAGTCGGGGGGGGTTGAGGTAGTAAGAAAAGAAGAAGAAGATGGAGAAAAGAAAGGGGAGGAGGAAAAAGAAAAAGGAGAAGAAAAGGGCATGAATAAATGAATACTCGAGAGCGCACAAACAAAAAAGAAGACGCTGGCTAAAAAGCTCTGGAAGAAGAGGCCATTAGTGGCCCGGCCTCTGTTTGTGTGACAGAGAGAGATAGAGAGGGACATCTCCACTGTCAACCCCCTCCCTCACCCCATGGGAGAAGCGCTAACAGCCTCTCTGACAGGCCCAGAGATGGCCATGTCCCCTCCAGGTGCATCGTGGGAGAAAGGGAAAACATTGCGGCTATCGAGGTCATGCCGGAGAGCCCAGCTCTCGCTCAAGGTGAAAAAAAGTGATGATGGAGAAGGAAAAGAGAGAGAGAGGGGAAATTTGTGAAGCTACATGCCAGATGGAACACGCCAGAAGTGTCTTGTGCCCCTGCGATGTTTTTAGTGTTCTCACAATAAGACGCAAAAACACAGAAACACAATAAAATAGTCTCAAATAAAGATAAATTGTTTCAATAACTGCTGTGGGAAACAAAAAAACAGGGTTTCCCTATTCTTATTTATGTATTTAATTAATTTCCAATTAAATAAAAGCATTATGGCTTGAGCTGCGATGGTGTGAACATACTCAGGGAATATTTATGCAATACCATTGTATCACACAAACAGTCTCTGGCCAGTATTTCTACAGCAACAGACACAGAATAATATTCACAACTTGGAAGGAGCTTCAGTATTCATAAACACTTCTTTCTGTCTCTCTATCTTCCTCCTCAAAATCATCCTGCAAAGCTCAATTACTTTCATGTCGGCTAATACAAATCTCCAAGACTCTGTTTTGTTTTCTCAGAATTGTTATTCCCTCCTCTGAAGAGCAACAGAACGCTTGTTTAGCGAGAAGTAACTGATGTGTTGCTTTTTGAATAGTTATAATTGTTATTATTTATTTCTGGTGGAAGATTTTTCTGGAAGAGGACCATGTTTTTTTTTTTTTGAGTTTAACTTCCGTCCTTCTGTTGGTGCTTGGCTGCTGGCCACCGGCGTCAAACAAAGGCTGGTTTATGCAAATGGACAAGGAAGAGATGCTGTCACTGCTATCTCTCTCTCTCTCTCTCGCTCTGTCTATTTGTACGTCTCTCTATCTCTCTTGACAGCCGCATTAGCTCATACTCTCCTCTGCTATCTTAAATAAAGACATTTATCTCTTGTTATACAAACAAGGGGAGAAATGAGACATTCAAACTGGCAGCACACACACACACACACACATATACGCACACACGCAAGCACGCACGCACGCACGCACACACACACACACACACACACAAAAAAGCACTATTTGAAAGAAACTCATATTTTAAATTGAAATAATCTCTGCCTGACTGTCACTCACATGTGGCAACAACACTATTTATTGTTCCTTCAACACTGCAACAGCGACATTTTCTGTTAAAATACATCTTTTCTGCTGCTTTTACTGAACTCACAAACTTCTCTTGTAAGATACCTACCATTCCAAAAAAAAAAGTACTCTGAGGCAAAAAAAAATCAAACTAGGATGCTGGGTAACTTCATGTCCAAATAGTTATACAGCTTCTAGTGACTGTTCTGAGCTTCTTTTCTCCATATTTGATTTATTTCAGATTTCTGGTACCTTAATGTTCTGTCATAATCTTCTCAAAAAAAAGGGAAAAAAAGGGAAAAAAAGGGAACATTTGTTCTCCGCGGAATATCAGACAGTGTTATCAAATCCTTTGGTGCCGCTTGTCTTCATTTTTGGAAAGAAAGCCATAGAGTGTCAGCATCTGCTGCTGTTATGGACACCGAGGGGAACAATGATAATTGAGGCGCATACAGTAGACAGGGTGTACTGCTGCTGCTGCTGATGTGGGAATCAGCGGGAGATCGGTCATGCTCCGGCAAGCTACACGAACGCGGTGCGGAGGACCAGCTCGCTGAGATCAGATCGGCCTCCGCTCGCTCATTTCTCTTCAATTAGCTGCACTGTGGCTCCTGGAAGAGAGGGTGAGGAGGGGGTGCAGCCGAGCATGAACACCCCTCACCCGCTCTCCCTCCCTTCCTCCCGTCCCTACCAGCCAAACCCCCTAGCGAGTGGACCACAGGCGGTGTAGTGTGTGTGTGTGTGTGTGTGTGTGTCCTGCCATATTCGGACCAGTGGTTCAAAGGCCTCTTTATTTGCGGAGTGAATTGAGTTCCATTACAAGGCCAGCTCCCGTCACTCAAAGCCTGCTCAATGGGCCGGCGTGCAATGACACACACACACACACACAAACACACGCTTACACACACACACACACGGTACAGAGGGCAGAGGCACTGTGGAGCGCGCCCAGAGCGTCGCCACAACGACATGCATGTCAACAAACAGGAAGTGACAGCACAAAGCCCCCTGGGGTGACCGGAGGAGTGAAAACACACACACAGGCACAGACACACACAGACACAGACACACACAAACACAAACACACAGAGCAACACAATGAGTGGGGGGGGGGAATGCAGTCTTACTTGCAGGATGAGACTAAGGAATTTGAAATGTCATTTACTAGCCAGGCGTACATGCTGAGCTGTGTGTGTGTGTGTGTGTGTGTGTGTGTGTGTGTATGTGTTTAAACTGTTAAGACCTGCGCCTCACTCTTTCTGTCCCCTAATCCCTGAATGTAAGACCAGCACTAACACATATGCATGTATTTGTGTGTGTGCATGTGAGCATGTCTAGTGGTCAGCGTGTGCTTGTCACATGACACTCCCGCGATGTGTTTGTACATGTATAGGTGTGTGTGTGTGTGCCTGCCTAAGCCTGAGCTCTATTGACAAGAGGTGAAAAGGTGATGTGTGACTATTGGTGTTGCTCTGAGTGAACACATGATTGTTTGGTATTAGTGCTATTGACAACGTGCTCACACACACACACACACACACACACACACACACACACACACACACACACACACACACACACACTAGGTTGCGTCCATTGTCTCAGTCATGCCGTTTCCCCTGTCATCTTAGCAGGAGGAGATCTATGTATATGTGTGCGTGAGTCTTGGTCAATAATCTGCAGCTTTAGTCAGATTACCAGCTCGGCCGCTCTTTGTTGTCCGAGTTAGCGGCGCTTCAGAGCAGTCTGAGCTCTATTGTTTACATGGACACGAGGACTATTGTATGGATCTTAATGGATTCTTGTCTGTCTGTCTGTCTGACTTCCTGTCGGTCTGTTTTTGTTCAGTGTGTTTTGGTACTGAAGCACACACACAGAAAAAGAAGCAAAGTTTGGACTGACTGTGAGACAGAGGCGTTCGACACAGACACTTTCCTTTCTTTACGTCTTTATCAGCCTCTTTTGCTTGTGAGCCTTTATTGTCGTGTTAGTAATTGAAATGTATTTGTGACTGAACTATGCAATAATTAAAATAAAAAAGAGACCCATGTGGAAAGATGAATACACTGGTCAAGTTTAAATTAGATGATTTCAATGCCTTTCTTATACCTTTATGGCACAGCCTCAAGGACAAACACAGCATCAAATCTGTGGAATTTTCTTTGACAATAAACACCTCAAGAATTTGGGTTATTTTCCATTTGTATTCGCTTTAGTTGAAAACAGAGGTTAGTTTCCTTTTACTTATAGCGAAGTGTTATAACTTCATATAAAACCTAAATGTTAACTGTCAATAAAGTCATTAAGTGGGCTTTCACACCAATAATCAATCCTTTTCCTACACTCATTATGCCTTTGGAAGTGGTAAGGCGGCATTTGCCTAACTACAGTCAAGCTATCTCTGCTGCCTATTGATTTCCCAATGATCCCATGCTGCTATCACAAAATGGCATTTCCTTGCAACTCCAACAAGCCTTTAGGGCCCAGAAGACGATATCAACACGGAAGCAATTCTCACATCCGAGAAAATGCTTTGCTGCACTCTTTCTCTCTTCTAAGATAAGGTTTTGTGGAGAAACGAGTTGCTCGATTGATTTCTCATTTACCTTCTGTCATCTGTCCCCGTCTCTTTTTTCCTCTTTTTCCTTCTCCCTCCCTCCCTCCCTCTAACCGCCTGTCCGTTGTTTTGTCCGTCCATCTCTCCGGTGTACAGTGTGGTAATCCAGGACAATATGTTCCAACATCTGCCTCTCCATATGATGCCTGACCCACGCCATTGACCCTCTTTATACCACGCCACACACACACACACACACACACACACACACATTTAATCTCTCACACACGTTCACACTTTTCTCCTTCATTTACCTCCATCCATACCATCTCTCTTTCTCTCTGTTCATCCTTTTAACTGATCATCTTTCTAAATACCCCTGCCTTTTCACCTTTATCGCCCGTCTCTCTCTTTTGCCTGGATAAGTGCATTTTTCAGCTCTCTGTCTGTCCTTCTCAGTCCATTTATGTGATTTGGATAATATCAATGATATCAAGGGTCAATAGGGAGTCAGATTAACATGCTCTAATGCACAATGTCACACTCATCCCCCAGATTAAGATACTAAATGTCAAACTTGTACTCTCCAAAGCCTCTGTTGCCTTGAAACCCGTCTGTGGAGGATTCTGTATTAAGCTCCCATTGAGTATAAGTGCTACTCTGTTGATTTCTATGCAGGATGTTTTAAACATAGAAACAGCTTTAAATCATTGAGAGATTAATACATTTTTCTCAGAACTGCACTTAACTCAAAGCTGTGCTGTCTGCTTTCTTTCTATGTATGCAGTTTCCATGTCAGTAGTGTAATTAGGGTAAAAGCCATTGTTCCTCATTAATTGTTTTTCCTTTAGTTGGTTTTACAAATCAAGCTCAGTTTAACTTTAAACTACAAACATGGCTGTTTGTGTAGTTGCTGGCAATGTCATCAGGGTTATTTGTTTTTGTTTTTCATCAGAAAGCCTGTGTCAGAAATCAGGGTCTTAAACAGAAGAAACTATTGAGTTGCATTATGGGAAATGTAAGACTCAGTGTTTCTAGGGATTTCTCAAGCTCTGTGCTGCTTCAAATTTGATGATTCTGTAAAAAAATAAAAAATAAACTTGTCTAGTACCCAAACTTTAAATTCAATGTGCAATATTAAATTGATGTAGCTAATCCTACAAGGAAGTTAGTAATGTATGAATCAAAATATAAGAGGGAAGTACAAAATACCAAACATGCTGTTCTGAGAAAGAGAAAGACTATTACATGACTTCTGGGTATTTAAAATAATAATATTAATTAAAAAACTTAAACAGTTACTTAGCAGCCAGCAAGGTGCCCAATGCAGCTTTAATGTGTATGAAGGTGTGTGTGTGTGTGTGTGTGTGTGTGTGTGTGTGTGTGTGTGTGTGTGTGTGTGTGTGTGTAGTATGGGCTGCATATATTAGTGCTATTCTACCAGTTTCCCAAGTGAGTCTATTGAAGCCCGTAGAAAGTACTGAGGCACCAAAGGTCATGACCTAGACCAGATTAATCTCTCTTATTATCCTGTCATTGCCAGAGATAAAAAATGTCACCTGTGTGTTGCCTATCACTAAAACTCCAATGTTAGTAATTGTCATATCCTAATCTGATTTAAGGATTACATTGTTCCATTGTGGGCAGATGAAATAAAAAAAATGGACTTGGACTCACCTTGTAATTATAAAACCTTTTCAAAACCCTTTTTAGTGCAATTTTGTAGATGTATCAGAGGAAATGCATGACATAGCAGGAAATAGGAAATTATTATAAACATTGGTATATTAAAAAAAAACAATATACACACTGTAATGACTATGTGTGTGTATGTGTGCAGTTCAAGTGTCCACATGTTCTGTCAACATGTTTCCTTGCACTCTTGAATGCAACCAGGAAGTTCATTGTGTACCCTATCTGAAAATCTTTCATTTTCTCTCTCTATTTGTGTGTGTGTCTCAGCTAAGTGGGTTCACCTGTGTCCTCTCCGACAAAACCACTGTGTTGCCGTGGCGACCCAAGGCCTGAGCTAACTGTCATGTCTCGTCTCGGCAACAGAAAACACCTCCTTATCAAATGAGGGCGTGGAGACGATCCCAAAGGAAATCCATCCACATTGAGACATCTGTACTTGTGTTAGCCCGGGCAAATCCGTTTCTTTCTGACAAGCCTTAATCTCAATGTGCCACTGTGTTTGTGTGTGTGTGTGACTGTGTTTGTGTGTTTTTCTGAGAGGATTGTAAGAAAGAAATCTGCTAGTGAGATGTTTTTTTGCACTTGTTGTGTCCTCTCACCCCTCCCTGCTGGTAAAAAACAACAAAAAAAATCCAATTGCAAGGTGGACAAAGCCGTTCAACTGGAGATTGAGTGAGTCTGAACACAGTCGAACATATGGACGGCTAGATTGAAGCAGTGATAACACCGGGGAGGACATTATTCTCAGGCTAAACACACAAATGTGCTTACACACACACACACACACACACACACACACACACACACACACACACACACACACACACACACACACACACACACACACACACACACACACACACACACACACACACACACAAGCCAGTAATAATGAAATCAGTGAGGACAGCGGGGTCCGTTCTCCATGACAGAATTACACAGCTATTCTATTCTCCCTGTAGTGTCTAGCATATGGGGCAGCACGTTTGGCTGACAGGTGCAAATGTATTACACACACTCTGCCTAACCTTTAACCCATATTTTCCCATAATTCCCTAATCGTGTGAACAGTAAGTGAAAAAGATGTGTAGAAAAATATGTGTGTCAATGCAGCTGTTTCTCTACGATATCCGTGTGTGTGTGTGTGTGTGTGTGTGTTTGTGTGTGTGTGTGTGTGTGTCACATTTTATGATAATGCGTGTCAAGAAGACATGAGGGCCAAGTGCAGCCTGTACCGAGGCAGCACCGGAGGTTAATGTGTTTCAGACAAGCAACTGGGGGGACGCCCGCGCAGGCTCTTAACCCCTGGGAGAGGGGGCCTCAAAGCCACGTGGATCTGAGTGGAAGTATGTGAGGTCTAGTTGTGTGTGTTTGTCTGTTTTGGTGTGTGTGTACAAGTGATGGTTGGGGGGTCAGGATTACCAAGCGGTAGGCCACTTATTCTAAATATGCAGACAGGAAAAGGACCAAAGTCAGACTCATCCTCCTTATGAGTGGGATAACAGATGTTGACTCTTTTTTGTGATTGTTTTACCTCTCTGTGGTTTTGTCTCTCTCTGTTAAAGCTTTCTGGTTTCTTGCTTACTCACTGTTTGGCCTCTGAATTTATGACATAGTAGCAGAGCAAACAAGCAGATCACTTGAACTTACGATGTGCACATGAGCTGATCCCTTAAATTTGATTGCTCAAAACTGTCAGGTAGCTTCCAGCGTCCAATCAAATTATACATCTCATTTAATCACACAGAACATAACACAACAAAGTTCAGACTATGAGTTGAATGAGTCTGGCTTGTAGCTTTACTTTGTGAAGCTCAGCCTCTTTGACTTGCTACAGTGATGTGGCTACTTAATCACAGCTTCTGATTAAAGAAAAGTTAATACTGAAGTGATTTTTGAGCACTTTGACATTTTGTGGTGCATTTCAACATTTTGCATTTTTTTTGTGATTTTCAGACATTTAAATAAAACTGACTTTACTGAAGACAGCACGCGCTGAACACTTTCTTGTAAGCATTCAGTGGGGTTTAATTCTGACGTACAGTATGTGTTTTCCCGCTCGTTTTCATTCATGTCAGAACATGAAGAAAATTACATTTCAGAAGTACATGTGATGTGACATATGTAATCCATCACAGTGAACAGCGCTTTCCTTTATTGTGCTGGAAAGTTGAGAGAAAGGAGTGCTTTTGGACAGGCAGAACAATATGTAATCATCATTCCGATCATGATGTTAACTTAAAAGCTAAATCACAAATAAAGACGCCTTAGTGTCGTTAAAAGAGACTGAAATCTCTTCAGCGTCAACCACAGAGTAGCTTTGACAGTCAATCTGAATATTTCTGTCTTGAACTTGTAGCAGGACAAAGCCAGAGGGCTAGAGTTACACTTGTTTGTTCTGTGTGATTTTTTAGCTCTGATCATATTTTTATGGGATCACTTCACTGTCCACACTGGAGTGAGGTGACAGCTGTGCACCCCGTGCCCTCCCCTGTGTGGTTGTGTTTGTGGTCTTGTATAGCTCAGGGGGAGTATGGTGTGAAGACTGTCAGGGGATTTATTCCCAATGGGACCACCCAAGCATAAGGGAAAACTGAATGATTTAGTCTGACTTCTAGTTGTTGTTGTAATTTACTGTATGTTTTTGGTCCCTAAATCTGTTACCAAGAGCTCATGTGTAGACAGAGTAATCTCACCTGGAGTTGTAGGGGTCCCAGGCCTGGTGTAGCAGCAGCAGCAGCAGCTGCCATTGTTGTGGGGATGAGCTGGAGAGGGTAGGGGTCACCTGAAGAAAACCAGAGAAATCACATTTTTTAAGTAACACATTGAGCTAATATTAAATATTAATATTCTAAGTGTTCTCCATATCTCCTAACTCCCCTCCCCTTTACTCATCTCCTTCTTTTCATCCCATAGCCTCCCTCTCTTCTCCACCCATCCCTTGCCCTATCCTCTATCCTCCATCTCCCACCTCCCTTTGCCCTCATCCTCTGGTTTTTCTCCTCCCTCTCATCCCACCTTCGTCACTCCCTTCCCTTCCCTTCCCCTCGCCTCACCCCCATCAACCCCCCCCCACTACCACCACCACCACCACCACCACCTGAGTCCTTCTCTGCAGCTGTTAAAGCCGTCCTTTGTGTGTGCTGCCGGTAGGGCCTTAATGAAAAGCCTGATTGTGTGTCCTCCTCCTTAATACCCCCTGACAAAGAGCAGCGAGGTGAGGGGATTCTGATAAAGCTGGCCCCAGCGCCATAATTAAGAGCCGCCACCGCCGATTGCTGCTCTCTCCTCTCGCTTTTTTTCCCCCTCAACTGTTCTCCTGCTTTGTTGGGAGAGGGATGCTTTCAGTCTCTCTCTCACTCTGTCTCCCACTTTCTGCCTCCTTGTGTCCTTCTTGTTGTCATCTTTCTCTCTTCACAAGTTACTCTCCACATACCCCCCCACCCCACATTTCTGTCAGGAATGATAAATCAAGAGATAGATGGACAAATGGGGCGGAGGAGATGACAGAAGTGCAGAGAGAAAAGCAGGAGAGAAAAGGACGAGTGCGGATTATTAGTGACCAGGTGCAGATAGGCTGCTCTGTAATTACTCCGAGAGAAAGGGATAGAGAGCGAGAAAAGGGGAGGGAGAAAGGTCAGAGATGAGGGAGGAGGAGATGGAGGGTGAGGAAGGGCAGATAGGGAGAGGAGAGGAAGAATACAGTACCTAATCACTGTAATATTGATAAAATGTGCCTGTTGACAGCTCTGAATTGCTTGAGGTCATGCCCACAAACCAAAATACAGTACACAGAGGTCAGACTTTTATACTGGTGTTACACCGAGGAGAAAACTTGGGAATGTTCTCAGGGCTTGACCTTGCATTTCTGACCTGAACCTTCTGCATAGCGGTCAGCCTCTTGGCTGTATCAGGACCTTCTACTGTGCATTTGTGTGCCCATGTAAATATGTGTGTGTGCTTGGCATAAGCCAAGACTTTCCTTCGGACATATTTTCCCATATAACTTGGTTCTAAAAAAAAAAAAAAAAAAAGCTGAGACATTCTTTTCTCCAGTGGGGTTAGGGGGGGCGGGAGGGATTAAAGAATTATTTCAGGACTGTGTATTCTAGGAGATGGGTCTTTTCTCCTTGCTCCCTGGACAAACATGAGCTGGGTGGATATTTATGCTCCTCCTGGGGGTCGCTGTAACAAAAGGGAGAAAGACGGAGGAAAGCAAACATGTTGCTCTTGGCTTGGGGACAGCGACCTCAGCGGACGGAGATAAAATTTCTCACTGACAAACAGACGAAAGAGGGAGATAGATGGAGGGAAGTGAGATGCAAATACGTCATCGATATCCCTTTGGTGTCAATTGGTGCGCAATTTGACATTTCTAAAAAAAATTTTTTGGACCAGACTAAAAATAAGAGTATTTTGGCCTCTGCTGCTTCACTTCTGATTATCAATCTGTCTCTTGTTAGTTCCCCACCTTTGTGAAAGTGCAATGCTTGAACACTAGAAAGCCCCTTTAAATGTTTCAGTGTCATCTTAAAAGAGCTAATTTGAAAATTACATGAAAGAAGAGAATGTGACAAATGGTACTGCAGGGACCACTTGTGGAATAACACAATATCCTTTTTTAATTTGAGAGCTGAGTTGTATTGTGTATTATGTTGTATTATGCAACTTAGTTTTAGAAATAAAAGGAAAAACTGAAAATCAGTTTATAAATTTAGGTTTTAAAGAAAATTATGCCAAACCTGAAAATGCAGTACTGTTTAGAACAAATTATAAAGAGTCCTTTCAAAAGTTAAACAGCTATAGTGTCAAAATCTTGTCATGTCAGTGGGTTGGACATTATTGTGTTAATGTTCAACAAGTGTTCAAACAAGTCACAGAAGTCTATACTGTGCAGATAAAATCTATTCATATCTTCAAAGCTACGAAGCGCCGTGAGAATATGTCAGAGCACAATGCTACACATGTCCTATTTAGAGCTGCAGCACCAAACTACATCAACTCACAACAACTTTGAAAGTTGCCAGAGAGTTTTCTCAGGGGCGGCCCAGCCTGGCGCAGTGTGCCAATCCGGTTGGAGTTGGCGGAGGCAGTGAAAAGACAAGCCCACCACTTGACAGGGTATTTACGTGGGCAGTGGGCGTGGGTGAAGATGGCACTAATTAAAATGGAATGGACTTGTTTGGGAAGCTGTGAAACTCTAAGGGGGTGGGTGGGAGGGGGGTGGGAAGGGAAGAGGGACTGAGTGTGCACGAGCTTGCGTTTGTGTGCACGCTCTTAGTATTTTTTTTTCCCTTATTTTTTGTGTTTGCGATATCACAAAGCAATGTCTGGCTGCCTGGACGTTTGTGTGTGTATATGTGTGTTATTGTGTGTGGGCTGTGTTGGAAACATGTTCTGGCTGCGTCCTGTGTTAATGTGAGGAGAACCTGGGGCAGGTCACATTACCACCCTCCCCACCATCCCCCCCTCCCCCCCTCTGCTAACCCCCCCACTGTGCATTTATTCCCAGCATCCCCTGGCAAGCAACCCCCACTCTTTTTCTCTCTTTCTCTCTCTCTCTATCATGGTAAACAACACATTGCCACACAGCCGGAGCGTGATAGCCAAAAAAAAAAAAAAAAAAAAAAAAAAAACATGTCCTGCAGGACGCCTGTATTTTGTTGCTTTTATACATCAAAAAATAGACAAGACAAAAGGAAGGAGCCAAGAGGACTGAGCGAGAGAGGGAGAAAGAGAGATAAAGCGAGAGAGATTGAGAGTGTAAACAGGAAGGGTGTATTTGGACTGGTTTTTCTATTAAGAGAGAGATGTTGTTGTAGGGGCGAGCTCGTCTTTTGGGAAACAATCCGACTCCCTGTGTGGGAAAATGGTCAGACTCTACCTTGCTTGGTGAAAAACATTTGAAACATCACACATAAAAAGTCCTTTTACACTGAAAGTTGCACCTATTTATGAATGCACGTGTGTGTTACTCACTGCAGCCAGGCTTGTAGTTGAAGCCAGGGGGCATGAGGAAGCCCTGCTGGGCTGCAGCCGCTGCCAGAGTCCTCTGGTCCGGAGGAAAGACGGGAATCATCAGTGGAGGGAGTTGGCCCTGGACCTGCTGATGAAGGAGGGAGAAGAGGGGGGGAGGAGGGAGAAGGAGGAAAAGAGGAGGAGGAAAAGAAGAGGAAGAGGGGAGAAAAGGGAGTAGAAAACATGAGCATCTTTGGCGTCTCTTTTAGTGACCACCCATAGACAAGCGCTGAAAACAATGCTTGCAATAATGCTAAAAATAGCGCTGTGTATGTGTGTAACTGATCCTAGAACAGATTGAGTACCATTCTGAAGGCAGTTACATATAAATTATATCATAATTATTTCTCAGAATCATATGCATTCAGGCTCATATACATATATTCATGCAATACATATGGAACACACATATGACATCAGTCTGCACTGCTTAGACACTTAGGAAGTCCCGCGTGCACGCACACACACACACACACACACACACACACACACACACACACACACACACACACACACACACACACACACACACACACACACACACACAAACAAACTCTAAGGACTCCATCTTCTCAATTCAAAGACAAAAAGCAAGTCATGAGGGCAGTTCACAAAACTCTCACAACAGCTGGCCTTTTCCTTTTATTTGGAAGATGATGTTCTCTCCCCTCTCCCCGCATCAATCTCCCCAACCAAACCACAACACACGCAAACACACAGACACACACCCTCTGTGCGCGTCTGTCGGCAGAGAGCCATACGACTTCACAAGGTTTCCAGGATTTTAAAAGGAGAAGCAGAAAAAAGCTCCTCCGATGGGTGGCTTTGGCAGGGACGACAGGAGAGGGAGAGGGAGAGAGAGAGAGAGAGAGAGAGAGAGAGAGAGAGAGAGAGATAGGGAGACAGAAAGAGAGAGAAGTAGGAGACAGATGGTTGCACTAAACAGCGTTCTGCCAAAAACAACACACAAAGACTTGCGTGTGATGGACTGACTGACAGTTTGAGAGGAAAGAGGATGAGGAGAGGCAGTGAGGAGAAGAGGGAGAATGGAGAAAGGTAAGAATCTTATCAACCTGTAAAGAGGTCTAATGCTGGTATGACGTTGAAGCCACAAATATAAAGAGGGGGATAGAGCTCAGCTAAATTTGGTGCAAATTTTGAGTAAATTTCCCAAATAAGTTTCCATAAACTACTGGGCAACATACTCCATAGAACCCCAGTATCTCTTTAGCTCTGTGGGTACATCATGTCATTTATGTTATTGTCATTAATCAATTTGCTTTTGTTGAAACATACAGTGTGGTGTTTTATTTGGCCACCAGTTCTGCTTTTGAATCTTTGGGCATGGCAGCAATACAACAATGCTGCGCCTACACTGTACGGAAATAAAATAAAAAGAAGAAGAAGAGGCACATCCTGCAACATGATCACTTATTTAACAAATCAGTTTTATCACTCCTGTACTTCAACATTGAGTCATTGTTTTTATCCATTGGAGTTGGATTATGTGGAATTTCAAAAATGCCATAAAAACAGGTATGTGGAAACTAACTTCAGACAAAAGTGTTGTTCATCCTGTGCTATCTTTACAGTCCAAGATTTAACCTTGATAAACACTTTATTTGAGAGAGTTAGGCTGGATTTAAATCCACACTTTTTAAACTGACCTACAATAAAATTGAAGGATAGATGCCTTAGGACGGCAAACCAAAAAAAAAAAAGGAATTAGAAGTGTATTCCAGAAAACTTTAATTGTGATTCCATAAAGTCAGGCTGCTTGTGAAAAACAGATTTAAAGAATGAATGATCAAAATAAAAGCAGAGCAGCCCTCAAAATCCTGAATTCCTGCCCTCAAAATCCTGGGTCCTATACTTCCCATAATGCAACTTGATACAATTGGCAGAGTGCCCCTTTATTAAATCAAATCCCTGATAGGGTCTTTAGGCCTTTGACCCGTACTACTGGTTGCAAAACACTTTGTTCCCTCTTTACCACTCATCTCCTCTCTGTCTCTCTTTGCCAGGAGGGCAGCACAGAGAGGTAATAGCTGAATAGGATAATGGGCAGGTAAAAGCTGTTTGATGTGGAAAATTGATCTGGAATGATGGAAATGGCTGGAAATGGCTGCACAATCATAAGGATGCGGTGGTGGTGCCACAGTACAATCAGGTAACATCTCGGTGATATGGACACTTGAAGTGGTTAGTGCTTGAGACAGGTAAATAGTCTCTCAGTGCTAACAGCGCTTCCAGCTCTTTCCCTGCCTGTGTGTATATACTCAAGTTTCCCTGGGCGTATGCATGCTCCTGTACTGTAAACACCTATGTGTGTGTGTGTGTGTGTGTGTGTGTGCCTCCCCCCTCCTCCTGCTCCTGTGTGTCGGCATGCGGCAACCAGCAGCACTGTAATCAAACTATCACTGCGCAGGGGAATAGCGCTCTCTTCAAGCGGCTCCTGTTTCCCCCTTACACCAAAAACAATAATTACTCCACCATTTTGGTAAACCATAAACCGACGTGTCGCCTGCGCTGCGCGATCAGAAGGGAGAGGCGTTCCAGCGTGATGCTCGGACAGGACCCCCACAGGGACGAATCACAGACAGAACAGTTCCGCTCTGCCTTTCAGGCCTAATTGGACATATGCTGGAGTGGAGCTGGCTAGCAATACTGTAATGTACCGTAGGGAGGAGGAGAGGAGAGGATAGGAGAGAAGAGGAGAGGAGGAAGAGAAATCTGTGGCAGCTGTAATACATACATACTGTACATAGACACACTGGCACATATACTGTATGACGTCTGTGTGTGTGTGTGTGCACATGGCTTTGCTTTCTTTTATTCCAAAAGAAAATGGAAATATCATAGAATTTCTGAGTCTCTTTTTCTATCTCATAACAAAAAGCCTACATACAATAGGAAGACATTAATCAGCCTGCAGAACTGCTGCACAATGCTCACAAGTCCCCACAATGGGATAAGAAGATCAAGCAACAGCAGAAATGAACAAAATGACAAGAGAGAGACACAAAAGGATGAGAATAAAACAGAAATACACGAGAGAGAAAGTAAGACGGAGATTGGTTTATGGAGCGTCATTCCCTCCCATATGCTGCTGTTATAATAGTTGAGTTAAATATGTGTGTGACAGCTGTTGAGCTGATGAGCAGCACCACTAGCCTAGCATGGTCACTGGCATGTACACACACTGACCTCCAAACACACACATGAGGCAGAAAACACAGGTCAGAGCAAGTAGAGGGAGGAACAAGGGACTGTGTGACCTGTGTGTTTAGGTGTGTGTGTGTGTGTGTGTGTGTGTGTGTGTGTGTGTGTGGAGGGGTGAGCGTGGTTGTCCGCTAGCCGATCATATGATATCAGAGTAGATCAGTCTCCCTCATCATGGTCCGCTGTGCATTCCTTCTTATTTACATTCCGTTACCATCTGCGAAATGACTTAATCTGATATTTCTCCTAATATTGGATATACAATAATGCAATACCTTAAAGTGGATTATGTGTTAGCCTCGTGATCGCAGTGTAAACTTTGAAACCGAGAGGAAGAAAAATCGAGGGAGAGAGAGCTCTCAAATCAGAGAATAAGAATCAGAGACAAAGCGATGCATTGACAGAAGGAAAGAAAAGCCTGTGAGAGAAAGTGAGGGTGAGAGAAACAGAGAGAGGAGAAAGTGAGCGCGAGGGCCAGATCTATCAGACAATCTCCAGATCCCACATAAAGGAAAAGGCACATCTGAAACAGCAGGCGCTTTGGGGAATAACGCACTCCTCAGCTTCTCTTTCACATCAGGCCCAAAGTGAACATGAAAACCTACAACACACAGACAAAACATCACACTGCTGCTACTGTACGCTGCCGACGTGGAGAATAAGGGGCTCCGCTTTTTATCTGCAAACCCCTCCTTCTCTTCCAAAAAAGAAACCTGAAACAAACAAAACTGGAACTCATCTGAAAAAAAAATCCTCTAATCAGTGATAAGTGAACGCAAAACAAAGACAAACACTCGAAACAGAAGAAGAACCGCATATATATAAAGACAACGTGTGAAACTTTTTTTCTTGAGAACTTTCACAGGGGCGAAGAGGACAGAAAGAAAGAGAGAAGTCGACGATTCACCCTGGCGAGACAACTTCTCAGGAAGTAAACAGCAGATAGACGGAACAGAATGAACAAGAGAGGGAGAAGGAGAGACGGAGAGAGGGGAGCAAGAGTTGGATAATTGGCAGCGAGTCGAGGCTGCGTTCACCACGCGCCAGGCGGCACAGCTTGAACTTAAAGCGCCGCTGCGGCATAATGAAGATGTGGCCGCTAATTAACATATGGGGTGTGAAACAGGTTGGTTGGCACGCGGCGCGCTAAAAACTCCAAGGTAAAGTTATTATTGGGGAGTAATTAGCTCTATGAAGTTAATGCGCCGAACAATAGCTGCCAGCGCCGCACAATATGGCTCGCATCTGAGCGCGCGAAAAAAATAGCCCCCGCTAAAGTGCGAGTCCCACAGCTAAAATCTGTTGGCGACCATATGCTCCGGCAATTAATGCAAGACCTGGATGACCTATTGCTAAAGAAGGGACGTGCAAGCGATAGAACCAATAATTAATTTGGAGAGAGAGAGAGGGAGAGAAAGAGAGAGCGATAGCTGGCTTTTAATATTAGTCCATTAACTTTCTATGGACAGGGGCTATTAGAGGCCAGCCTGCTGTGAATGTAGAGGGCAAGGTTTCATGTGGCAATGGCTGCACACACACACACACACACACACACACACACACACACAGGTATGTCTGTGTGTGTGTGCATTAGAGAGAAAGCATGTGAGCAAGGGTGGGTCTCGGTGGGAAATGCTGCTTGGTTGTGGTCCAGTTTGTGAGTGCGCGTGTGTGTGCGTGCACATCGACACGTAAGGAAAACACAAATTACACTGGTTGCAGTGTAATGGGAGTGATTAAACAATTACACAGGCAATTGGGTTAGCCGCTCCTATGCACAGAGTACAGAGGTGCTGGTGTGCGGTGTGTGTGTATGTATGTGGTGTACTGTATGTGTGTGAAAATGAATGAAAAGCGTGCTTTTTAGTGTTTTTTTTTGCTTTTGTTTTTTGCTTTTTCCTCCCACAGAATGAAAAATATTGGACACGGACAGAGGCTGCACTTGTGACTGCATCAGGTGTTATTACACTTGGAGGGGTGTGTGTGTGATTGAGTTACCAATGTAGGTTAACCTTAATAGAGAGCTTGTTAGCCGCTGTCGCCGGCGCGTCTGGCCTCTCTTAAACTAGTCAAAGCATCAGGTGGCTTTACTCATTTTCTCATTCTATCTCCCTTCTTCTTACGTCTGCTTTGCTGTCTCCCACCTATAGCAACGGATGATGAAATGAAAGACAGCCAACAGGGGTAGAGAGGTCAAAACACACTTAACAGCGTGTGTGTGTGTTTTGGTTGAGTGAATTTGATTCATTAGGCAGGACACACACTTCTGTCCCCTCATCCCACAGTTTCAAATATACTGTACATCGCGCGAGTGTGTGTGTTGCCTCTATTTTATGAAAATGTGTGCGTGTTCTCAAGGTAAGCCCTGAGCCGCTCGGCAGGTGAGCTCCTTTCATCCCCGTCGCGCTTCCCCGCGCAGCAGCAGCAGTCGTCCCCGGCCACACCGGAGGGAGCCTCGGAGACAAGACGTTTAATTAGAATGAGAGGAGACGAGAGGGAAAGCAAAGGGAAGTGTGAGGAAATATGCTCACCCCTTTGAGCTTAACAAGAAGGCCCCTAGCAGGGGGTAGGGGTGCTGTGTGTGTGTGTGTGTGTGTGTGTGTGTGTGTGTGTGTGTGTGTGTTTGCATGTCTGCAGGTGTTTATGTGCACACATGTTCTTGTTTCTTTAGAGAGCCACTTGTGTTACACACTCAGAGTGAGCAGAAGTTTTTCAAAGTAAAGGTCATTTTTCCTGGTCCTTACTTACCCTGGGGGATAAGTTCAGATTCAGGATATTTGGGTCTAGGTTTTAGATTAACATTTAAATTAGGTTGGTTGGGTTAAGGTTAATGAGAATTTAGGATCAGGACTTGGATTAGGGGTTAGGATTAGAGGTTTAGTTGGGATAAAGGTTAAACTCAGGACTTGGACTAAAGAACACTGAGGGTTAAGGTAGGATTAAGTGTAGCAAAGTCCCCTCAGTCAAAACGTTAAAAAAATATGAATGTGTGTGTGGGATGAAATGAATGGATCATAATTGATGCTAATTAATGGATAATTCCAGGTAGAATCAATTAGTTAAAGCGGGAAAGTGGCCAATCACTGATTTCCGAACACTAACGAAAGGAGTGTGTGTGTCTCTTCATACTGTATGTCATTAGCTTGTGTTGCTGTTATGCCTGCCTCTGTAAACGAACTCACTTGTTTGTCAGCTCGCACCACATTCAGCGAGTGCTGCTGGCCTAAATAGTGGACGCTAACACGCATATCGCTAGCTTGATTTGGGTTTCAGGGCGAGAAAAAAAAATAGGAAACCGGACGCGAGGACAATAAATAATTTGTCCTCCTTTCATGAGGGATGTGTGTCACTCTCCTCTCTTTTTCATGAGCTTGATTATTCGTTTCATTTCATCACCTCTTCCAAGTGGACGGTTGAAAGCATTCTTCACAGGCCTTTGGGGGTTTGGGCCCAACAAAGCCAAGGACGCAGACACACACACACACACACACACACACACACACACACACACACACACACACACACACACACACACACACAAGAAGGGACAGCTGAACTCAGCCTCGTTAGGGGGAAATGCAATCACAAGGGGTTTATCATACAGACACAAAACACACAAAAACACACACGCACACACACACACACACTGAACCTGGTGCCCTCTCTCTGGCAGGCCATTGTATTGTGGGATTGTGCGGACAATCTCTTCATGAATGATTAAGCAGTGTATTTCTCGACCAAGTCTTTGATGATGAGTGTGTGTTTGATCATCAGGCGAGTGCGCGCCGCTTTCTACGTCTGCTTTCGATACGTGTGCGCGAGCGAGCACAGGCGTATATTTTCCGTATGTTTGTCCGCAGTTGTGCGCACTTTGATGTGCGCGATACATGTGGATGTGCGTGAGTGTGTGTTTTTCGAGCTGCTGCGATGAGCCCCTGTTGATTGTGTCCCTCTCTTAACGAGGCTGCCTACAGCTGCCCCTGCTTGTGAGAAACTATTGTTGGGCCTGTTCAATGGAGAGACGCTTGTTTGGGAAAAGGTTGCAAAGTCATGGGAAAAGAGAGCTTTGTCTCGGCGGGGTCGTGAGGGAGTGAATCATGAGCGGACGTGTTTATAGCTTAACACACACAGCTGCGTCAGACACACACACACACACACATACGCAGAGATGAAGAAATGGACGCTCGAGAATGCACAGAGAAATCCTCAGAAACAAACATGTGCGCTCTTTTTTTTGTCAAAGAGACAAAACACGAACAATTCAGAATTTAACTTGCACAAAGCAAATAAACACAGCTGCTTTGCACAGAATCGTGGACACACATAGACACACGTCCCACACACATGCTATCACAAGGTCTCTTATCACACAAACTCTGTATGGCTAACCTCTCGGGGGGAAAGGGAATGTGTGTGTGTGTGTGTGTGTGTGCGTGTGTGTGTGTGTGTGTGTGTGTGTTCCCTCTTGGACAGGGTGTCTCTTTATGATACAAAGCCCGGCTTTCTCAGCTCAAAATTCAGTGTCATCTGCTTTTACAAAGGCCTGGGCTATTCGTTCCAAGCCACCTGGACCAACATAGAGGCTCCAGTGTAGCACCAAAAAGGACAATACTTCCATTTTTAACTGTGACATACACCCACCCATTTTCTTAGGAGCTTGAGACACAGATTTACATTCAAATGGACTTTTTTTTTAGTTGAATTACTTTGCAGATTTTTTTTTTTATATAAAGTTATTCACTTATGTCTACAATCTACACAATTAGATATGTTTAACATCCTGTTCATAAAAAGAGGCTCCAAAATAAGAAGTCAACTAAGTTTGCATTTCCTGGTATTTCCTAGTGATAGGAATTCCTCCATAGATGAAAGGCAAGAGTGAAACATAATGCGTCCTCTTCTGAGGGGGGGGAAACAAGCTTAATAGAACTTTTAATCAGTTTTTCACTTACTTTGAAAAAGTAAAGGGTGGTAGAGAAGATAGGTAGCAAAAGATATGGGGTAACCCCAGGCCTGAGTCAGGCCGGATCCACATTACTTTCAGTATAATTGGGTCCAGGAAGGGTCCCATTCTAGGGTTTCAAGTCTAAGGTCTCCACTTTTGTGTGTCTAATACCCAGGTGAATCCAAGCAGACTCACCATCAGCTCACATTAGGACTAAAAACTGGGCTCTGTCTGGAAGGCTTATATTGATATCCATTAGCTAGCTTGTAGTTACCGTGATAAACATTTAAGATGGTGAGCTAATTCAAACATTTTATTGGCTACAAGGTGAATCCATGAAAAAGATGAACCTATTGTTAGCTTCTGTTTTGAGCGTCTTCCCAATTCCTTTCTTGGCTACCTCACTGGCTTAGTTGCCTGGATTTGTACAACGTTGCTGTTGCTTAACCGAGCAAATCTACTGCTGTGTCTGTGAAAACACCTACACAATCACTCAAACACACAATGGAATAAACATCAAAAAACCTACCTCACTGACAGTTTTATGTGCAAACTTTGATTTATATAATATAGACTTAAATCATACATAGTGTACTAGCCAGCACCCTACTTCTGATTTTTCCAAGCAGGCTGACCACTTTTAAGTGATTACACAGGTTTTGTGTGTGTGTGTGTGTGTGTGTGTGTGTGTGTTAGAGGAGGAGCTATAATAAGTCAACACTGATTCAGGCCCCAAATGCTGATGGCTGAGCGAGGAAAAGCTGCAACAATCACAATCACAAAATTGCCTTTGTGGCCCAAAAACACACACACACGGAAAAATGTACATACACACAACAACACACGTGGACGGACACACACACGCGTGCACACACTAACAGGCCTCACCTGGATTTGTTGCTGCAGGAGGTTGATTTTGTGTTGCTGCTGCAGAAGCTGCTGCTGTTGCCGGGCAATCTGAGGACGGAGCACACAACACATTATTAGAATGTACTGTATATTCAGTGCGTGTGTGTGTTCTGGTGTGTGTTCAGGGCCTGTGGGAGATGCGACACATCTGCAGGTCTCCGAGGCCCCAGTTGCACGACAGAGGGTCGATGCCCTGGTATGAAATATTAAAGAGCTCATCTCATCTGGACTCAACTCGCAGCCAAATGGACAACAGTGTCACACCGACACACTCTGTATCAACCCTTTTCCTAATATATTAGTTATAATCGATTTGGAGACATTTTCTCACTTTTACACATTTATTTAGACTTTTTACTTTTGTTTCTTGTAATATCATTTTACTCTGTTTTAAGATAACCCTTCTTTTGCATTTCTCTTTCTTATTCTGCAAGAGAGCAACAACTTTACACCTAAAATGTGATTATTAATTCTGCTTAAAAACTCTCCAGTGACTCTGGAAGTGGACTGGAAACACAATAATTCAGTATCCACATACAGAACATTCATGTACAGCCAGACTCAGTGCTTACTGCTGGAGGATGCAGCCCAGGGCACTGTAAGGTATTGTGTTTGTCACAGGTGATTTTATATCCTTACAGCCATGTTTCTGCGTAACTGTGAGGTGTGTGTGTGTGTGTGTGTGTGTGTGTGTGTGTGTGTGTTCGTTCTTCTTATTGCAAGGTTTCCAGAAGCTAAAAAGCACAACAAAGAGGGAAACCCTTCTCTATGCAAATACCTGGCATACTCCTGCCTGGGAGCTAGGAGCGTGTGTGTGTGTGTGTGTGAATGTGTGTGCATGTCTCCGCTACATCCGCTCCAACACATACATACCCTCAGCTCATTCCTGTGCAGTGTCCCTGTGTTCGAGCCAAAGGCGCATGTCTCTGGCTGTGTGAACACTATACAGTCTGAGATGTGTGTATGCGTTTGTGTGTGTGTGTGTGTGAGTATAAAGGGGAAAACAATCTGTGTGATTTGTTGCTTTTCAACCACACCTTTGAGCACAACTTCTGTTACAAACCTTCAAATCTGTGTGAGGATTCCTGATGACCATTTGTGATGGTTAAGTGTGTGTCCACATATGTGTGTGCATATGACTTGGAATTACAAATCAGTATCCAATCATGTGGCTGCTTAGTGTTTACTGACCCAGCACAACAAATGTACAGTAATAGTAGTTTATATTTTAAAATATGGTGAATTATGCAAAGAATCAAGACATCTACAGATGGGGAAATTTCTTAAAAAGTGCTATATATAGTGATATAATAATTATTCTGTGAACTAAAGCTAGACTAAATGACTTGTTAGGATGGATTTTTTTTTGCAGCGTAGACATACAGTACACAGCATTTCTGAAGCCCTTCACATGCAGCGTGCTCCTGTACCTGGTCCTGCTGCTGCTTGGCCAGCTCCATCTGCTGCCTCTGCTTCTCCATCTGCGAGGCGGCCAGCTTCTTCTGCTCCTCGTGGGCCGCCAGGAGCTGCTCCCTCAGGCTGCTCAACTGGCCAATCATGCCCATGAGCTGGCGCTCTTTCTCCGCCAGGCTGTCTGGGGTACCTAGGGTAAGAGAGAGAGGGGGGGAGGGGGAAGAGAGGTCAAAGGTGAGATTGTAGCACTTTGAAGGAAAGTGTAAGACTTGGTTGAGGTTACGCTATAAAACCTCTTTCGTCATTCAAAAAGAAAGTTTGTTTTTTTTAGACTTCAGTATTTGCCAGCAATTACAAAATATTCTATGAAGAAATATTTATATTATTACACCTGTGTTTTACTATATTTTCATTTATTATCTGTTTGTACACCAGAGTTGTAGCTGTTGACAGATACATTAACAGACACTACTTCCAACAACATTAAAGTGTTTTATAAACCATTACATGTTTATATACTGCTTATGAATGCTAAAAGCATTGCCCAAACTACAGTAGACAAACTACCAGGGTTGCATTAGAAAAGGTGTGAATGCAACAGGAGGAAAAAGCAGACAAGTTTAAAAATATACAAAATGTGAAAGTGAGATGTCATGCTGTGTTGTTCTTCTTTGTGAGTTTTCCACGGCTATCCGGAGGCCAGAAAGGATTGTGGGACAGAGGTTAGAGGTCAGAGGCATGAAGGAGAAGAACGGAGGAGGAAGAAACAACAAAGCAGTTGAAAGCTATCCATGGCTTGTTGGTCAGTCTAATATATGACCGGTTCGGGGCTTTGTAAGGTAGGAGGGGGCCCATCAACGGAAGGTGCGTTCAGCAAAGCGCGTATGTGTGCTGCGGAGCTGTAAAACCAGATGTTGACTTATTTTCCTGGGCACAGAGGGTCAGCAGTGATTACTTGAGCCACATCCATCACTGCCTTTATTGCCTTATTGAAATAAAGAAAATAAATCTGGCTGAGGAAACATTTGTAAACAGGCAAAATGTGGTGGCAAAACAAATGTAAGAGCTGAGCCAGATTCATATGTTTAACAAACAAAATAAATCTTCAGCCAGGTTTGAAAATTTACATTTCTTGATAAAACTTGAAGTAAATAAAAAAATGGATTTGATTGATGCTGAATTATGGCAAGATTTGGTGGTCTGCAGCAATCAAGCTGTACTTTGCGAATGTGTGTGTATGTATGTGGAAAAGAGAGGAGAGAAAGAAAGACGGAGAGTGTGTCTGGTCTGTGTTTACCCTGCAGTTAGCCAACCTCCTGCTCACATTTAGCATGGCCTGATCTCTGACCTCTCAGATCCTGACATACCAGGTCCATTACAAACACGCACACATACGTACAATTACACACATAAACACACTTCTACACGAGGCCTAAATCATTCAACAGGATGTAGTTAGAGAGAGGCACATCGAGGCACAATCAGTGTGTGGAGTGTGTGCGCCCATGTCTGGTCATATGTACCAATGTTTGCCGACATGCCTTTTGTGTGTGTGTGTGTGTGTGTGTGTGTGTGTGTGTGTGCGCGTGCATGTGTGGAACAGCACAATCCCCCATTGTTCTTCAGCTGCTACCTTTAACAGGGCCACATTCCTGCGCCAGTCAAACCAGATGAGGAAGAGAGAAAGAGGGAGAAAGAGGGGGAAAGAAAGACACACACAACAGGGGATGAAAGGGGGAGACAGAAGAAGGGACGGAGGGAGTGAAGGCAAAGCCTGACCTGCCCTTTGACCGCTCGGGAAGGTGAGAGCCATCCATTTGTCCTCCCTGTTGGTAGCTGCCGCCTCACACCTCCCCCCCCAACTCCCTCCATTCGCCCGCCTCCACTGCCCACCGACACCCCCCTACCCCTCCTCCTCCCTCACTTCCCCCCACACTCCATCCATCCGCCAACAATGAACAATAAAGGCAACTGTCGGGAGCACTGGCCGCTGGAAAAATAAACACGCCGCTGTCCTAACTCACAGACCCACCTTTGTAGAGCCAGAAATGTGTGTGTGCATGCATGCGTGTGTGTGTGTGTGTGTGTGTGTGTGTGTGCGCGCGTGCACGTAGCCAAAGCTGACCAAGACAAGAAAGAGCCTTGTGTTAAAAACGTTAGCCCGTTCAAATGGGGGGTGAAGGGGTGAGGAGGAAGGGGGCAAGGGGGAGAAAAAAGGATAAGGGGGGTTGCAAAGGTGAAACGATGGATCAAAGGAGTCTTTCTTGTAGGGGGTTCTTGTTGGAGTTAAACCCCCCCTTTACACATGCACACATCCATGCACATGCACAAATGCAAACACAGTAAAACTGGGCACTTCTGTGCAAAAGGACATTCCTTTAGTTAGGTGTGTGAAAATGAAGACAACCGGTCTATTCTTTTTCCATAAGCTGTTCGCAACCTTCAGCTGTGGATCTTTTATCAGCAAAACAGACTATTTGCAGAATCCAAGAAAACAACAGGCTTCCTAACTGAGACAAAATTTAGTTTATGCCCTTATAATGGACATGAGTTGCCCTGTCTCTTTCCCTCCCATTCAGACTTTTAGAATTTCTGTGGTCGCCCCATAAATCAGCTCGCGTCGGCTTGTTTCCTCAGCTGCTGCGAGGCGGGCGGGTGGATCGATAACTGGTTTCCTCCATTGCTTTACACACATTCCTCCTTAGGCAGATTGCGACGGCCTGCGCTTACCTACAAACCGGCCGACCCAACACCAACTCTCTCCCTTTTTTCTCTCACACACACTGGTGCATGGCGTAATTAACCAATTTGTAACAATGTAATACTTGTCACCGTGTTCACGGGGCTAATTAATGACCCCGGCTGCATTGATAACTCCCCCCGGTCAGGTGGGAGGAGTGGGGATGAGATGGCCGAGAAGGGAGGGAGAGAGGGGAGGACATACATGATGGTGTAGGAGAGAGGAGAGTGAGAAGAAAGAAGGACAGAAGACAGGAGACAAGCTGCAGGGTGGCAGCCTGGAAATATAAGCAGTCTATTTAGAAGGATATTTACATAGACACCGTAACAGAATTACTACTTAAATAATCAAGTAAAGTTAATATTAAGATAATAAAATTAAAATTTGATTAAAGCACTTACAGTAACCTGATTTTCCCAGTCTGATTGCTAACATTACCCTCTTAAATCCTGCCATATATACTGGGGAGAACATGTTTATAAGCTAATGCTAGGCACAAGTTTCCAAAGATACCAGAAATTCTGAGCAGAGGTTGGAGAAAATGTGTATAAAATGATACAAAAGACAGGCCGGCCAATAGTTCCCTCAGTGTAACATCATGGAGCTTTAAATGAAGTGAACTGATACTCATGCTGTATATAAAACTGTCATAAAGTGTGTATATAAGGAAGACGGGCATTTCAAAAGAAGAAGAATCTTTTCTGTCACTCTCTACTATCTAATGCTGCAGATCTGATGTTAATGGTACTATACTGTGGGGATATTTATTCTAGTCCTATGAGTTCCATATTTATGTGTGTATGTGTGTGTGTTTTGCTATGTGAACTGCATGGGGCCTTTTACCAATGTTGCTTCTCAATAAGGCTGACGGAGCGGGAGGCTGTGGCTCAAAATCACTTTGTTCCCCACAAAAAGCTATTCAATGGAATTCGATGGGGGAAAAAAGTCAAGGGATGCACTGACAAATGAGAATAGTGCGTGCGCGCACGCACACACACACAAACACACGCCCCCCCGATATGCACAAACTATTACCGCCAACTGGTGTACGAACACTTGACTTTCCTTATATTTCTGCCACGACCATAGGCACAAGCACACAAGTTCACACTCAGAGACACACATTGTTACGTCAGTACTGTCTAAGACACACATATGGACTCAATATTCATGTACACACATACATGTACTTCCACTGCACCCACACACACACACACACTCAAACATACTGATATTTCTCCCCAGCTGTTGCTGTGTGGTGCGCCAAGCGGGACGCCCCTACACAGAAATGTCAGCGCGGCAGGGAGCTGGGAAAAGGGGGTTTGATCAATGGAGCCCCCCTCTCGACGGCCACGCTGCTCCGCAAGGCTCTTTGATTACATATTGCTTTGCTTCCTAATGAAGCTCAATTACTGGAGGAGAACGACGGCTTTGCCCTGGAGTTACAGGGAATAATAGCTCACACTCTTGCACATCTTTCTGCTTCGCTCACCCCCCCCCTCACTCTCTTTCGCTGTCTGGCTGATTCTTGCTCCTGCATATTCACAGCGCAGCTCTCTTGTTCCCCTTTTGTTTCACTTCCTGCCCTCTGTCCCGCTCTGTCTGTCTTGCTCTCGGATGTTAAGAGGGGTTGATGTGGATAAAATGGGTGATTAACGCCGAGATTAACACAGAGCTGACGGACTAGCGGAGTCGTCATTGACTTTTTGACATGTTGGTCAAACATGAGACAGAACGGCCAACTCGGTTCAGTTCAGGGCGACTCAGTTCATTTGAGTTCAGTTCAACTAAATTCAGTCAATTTCAATTCAATTTAACCTTGAACCTGTTTTTCCTTGGATTTCACTCCATTTACCGTATACTCGGCAGATGGCCTGCATGTCTTAACAAGGCAGGACATTTACTGCTATTTTCATTATAAGCTGGGCTAATCAGAAATGCCATCAACTGGCATGTGAGTGTTTGTATACATGGCTGAGAACAACATGTATGTATGAAAAGCTTTTATGCAATTTGTTTGAATTTTTTGTAAAGAGTATGTCCACATGTTTTTATCACACAGCAAACATACTGTAGATATATAATCAGATAAAGGAAATAGTTAATGTGCAAGGGACATTAGGACTATATTGGTGGGACATTATGAGCCTTAGTACTGTTAAATCATGTAAAACAATAAAGCTAATTTTAATGAACTTTTTGCCATTTTGATGAATATGTTGAATATGCATGCTTGACGTAAACAGGAAGTGTAACGTAGAGTTATCATTACCACATGGGCAAATAGTAATTGTGAGATTATGCTGCAAAATATTAAATTAAATTTAGTATTTTTTTCTAAGTAGATTTAGTAGTTTTTTTCCCTCAATGGACATCGGAGGTGCATCAATCAAGTTCAGAGGGTTAATTAAATTCCTTAACAGCTATATTAAGTTTAGTTCTGTCATTATATGGTTGTACCATACCTTTAATTTCTCCGATGTGCCCTGAGCCCATGGCCAAAAGTTTATCCTTCCAGTCCTTTGACAACAGCCTCTCAATGCTGGGGGCCTCTGTTTAAGGGAGGAGGGGGAGGGAGGAGGGGAGGCAGAGGAAAGAGAAAGAGAGGGATTCAGTTGGCTGGCCAACATGACAATAAAGCTCATTTAAAGTCCATTTGCTGTAATAAAGGCAGCGGCAGCTCAGCCTAATGGCCGCATCAGCAGGAGAGAGAGGGAGAGAGAGAGGGAGAGAAAGGTGGAAAGAGAGAAGCTGATAATCGAAAGAGAGGAAATCTGAAGAACAAAAACAAGTGAGCAAAAGGGAAAGAGCGAGAGAGCCAACGCAAGATAAAGAGAGAGACAAGTGGAGGAGAGAGGGAGAGAAAGAGAGAGGCTTTTTCCCTCTCACCTGCTGCTAGAGAATCATTAGCCCTGTGGGCCCTGAGACAAAGAGGGCCTTAATGCACCCGCCACAATGGACACATTATCAGCTAGCGCTTTGTTTTCAACACACACTCCACAGACCCTTACACACACTAACCCCTGCGCAAACACACACATGTGCACACACTCGCAGAATCACTAATTACAATCCTAACTACGGACACACATGGATGTACGCACACACACCCACACACACAGTAGGGGAAATGGAAATGTCACACAAGAGAGCATACATGTACAGAGATTCAAGCATAAATGTGTGCACGTATATGCACTTTATATATATATATATATATATATATATATATAAATATATATATATTCACACACACACACACACACACACACACACACACACACACACACCCACACCCACACCCATCCACCCACACACATGTACACATACAGACATGCTGCCATCAACCCAGTCACCAGTCAGTTATTGACACGGACAAAGGGGAACAGGGCAAATGATCAGACAAAAGAAAGAACGAGAGAGAGAGAGGGAGAGAGAGAGACAGGGAGAGGGAGAGAGAGGAAGAGAGAGAGAGAGAGATAGTACTTTATTTACTGGGAGCCATCTGCACTTGGGATGCGAGGCCTTGCTAAGGAAGGAGGTTTTACACTTTGAGTGGGGAGATTAACCCCATCAGCCAACACAAACACACATACTTGAATGCACAAACACCCGCAAAACACACAGACACATGCATGCACAACACATGCAAAAACACTTGAATGAGCTCATATACATATATATATACAGCTTCTCACGCACGCACGCACACACACACGCACACGCACACGCACACACACACAGGCAACTGCTGATGGCAGGCAAAAAGTTTGTTGGTGACCAGATTTTTTTTTTTTCTAAAATGACAAGACTGATTAAAAAAAAAAGTCTTAATCTCACTAGTATGAGACAGCTTGCCTGCACAAACAAACACACTGGTACATGAATGCTTTCCACGAGAGAGAGAGAGAGAGAGAGAGAGAGAGAGAGAGAGAGAGAGAGAGAGAGAGAGAGAGAGAGAGAGAGAGATATGTCCAGTGTGTTGAGCTGAACAGCTTAGCGCTTTTTCTCCACTAAGTGACACACACAGCCGCCACACTCGACAACAAATCAAAGTACTTTTACCCATCATCCAAACACAAAAAGCATTGCTTTGCCTAAACTTCTTTCTTTCCTCCTCATCCCTCTATTTTTTCTGTCTGTGATGGAGCGGCGAGATGAGGATGAGAAACCACCTGGAGATTTTCAGGATTTAAAATGACACACGATTCACACAAAAACAAGGATGCATGTGAGAGACAGAGTCGAGACATACTCAGATGCACACACACACACACACACACACACACACACACACACAAGGCACTGCAGCGTGTCCTACATACTGTACCTCAGTTTGTGTGCGGGTTTGTGTGTGCCTAGAGCCTCCCCAGAGGCCTGAATCAGGTCCTTTCCTCTGGCCTCAAGACTAGAGCATTCACGCTCCGTTGATTACAATGGGCACACGCGCGCACACGCGCGCACACGCGCACACACGCGCCACACACACACACACACACACACACACACACACACACACACACACTGTGGATGATCAATGCTGAACTTCAAGGCAGTCCACCTCCCACTCTTTCTATTCCTAATCCCTCACTTTTGCCTTTTTTAAAGCCCTCCGCCGTCCTTGGACTCTGACTGGTCTGACACCACCACTCAGCCAGTTAGTCAGCAAACCGAGTTTTCGGCACCGCGTCCCTGATGTGCCCTAGTGCTTTCCTGTCAGAAACCACCTTAGCCTTGAGGGAATAGGTTAGCAGCGGGAAGAAGGAGGGAGGAGGAGGAGGAGGAGGAGGAGGAGGAGGAGGAGGAGCAGAACAGAGATGGACGGAGAATTTGTTGCAAAAAAACAGGGAGGAGGGGAAGAAACGTGCGTAGAGAGGAAGAAAGAGTGTGCTCCTGTGTTTTTTTCCCCCCCGTGACAGCTGTCTCACCATCACCCCAACAGGTGCTATTAGCCCCTGGCGCTCCCCTTCTCTCCCTCTTTCTCACTGTCTCTCACTCTCATCTCTCCCTCCAGCCCCTCTCCCTCAACAATGACAGAGGCTTTTAAGCCAAAGAGCTTTGACAAGTGAGAGGGAACAACAAATGGCAGTGTCGCCTGTTCTCTTTCCATTGCACTCCCTCTCTGTCTCCATCTCCTAGTTATTATTTTTATTTATTAACAGGGCTGCAGTTATTGTCCCCAGTGACAGGCCGGGGCCACTTTAACTATTAATAAAAGCCAAGAGGCTCTTTCATTGTGCGGCGGATGGCAAAAATGGAAGGAAATGGGCAGGAGGACTGGAGAGAGGGAAAGAAGAGAAGAGAAGAGAAGAGAGGAAAAGAAGAGTTGGTGTAGCTTTTAGTGAGATGTTGATTGATGTGGTGAGCACTATGAGGAATGAACCCACACTGTCACCCTTGATAAACTACAAACACACACCGAAGAGGACACCAACACATGCAGACTCACACACACAAACTTTGCGCATCAGTTAAAAGATGTGTTAGGACATCCTGAAACCATGACCTCGCAAACATGTCCTCCTCGCTCTCACGCATTAGCTTCTCATCATGGTTGTTTGGGCATTAGTTGGTGCATCAGAATACTTGCAACTGGCAAGTGCACTTCCTTGTTTTCATCTTTATATAAGAACATGAAATATGGCCACATTACCCGACTTTAGCACAACAATAACGACTTTCCTGATGCAAATCAGTTCTTGAAAGACTCTTTCCACTTCTCTCACATTCAAGGATTTATTTGCTTCAGCCCAACAGATGGAAATGCACCTGGTTTTACGTTCTGCAATATTTCTTGAGTTTTTTAATAAAATTCGCTTGACAGTTGGATGGAAACACAGCGAGCATCTACTACTGCTAATTGAGGCCAAAAATCAAATAATAAAGGAGGACAGCACAACACTTTCCATGAAAATTAGAGAAGCTACTCCCTGCTCTATTGACGTATAGGATGTGTGTGTGTGTTGTGTGTGTTGTGTGTGAGGTAAGCGGGTGGAGTTTGGTGCCCACGCAGGGGTGTGGTCCGCATATTTGCAGGGTGGGGTGTTGGGAGCAGAGGGTGAGGGAGGATGCTTGGCCTCCCCCTTGACAAAAAATGAAGGGGTGAGGAAATGAGCAGAAGAAGGGGAGAGAGGAAGTGTGAGTTGCACAGGGCGGTTAAGGTGTGTGCGTTCCTGTTAAACTCTTGAAATGTAGTTTTCCCCTTTATTTTCCCCTTAAGTAACTTTGAGGTTGGAAAAATCATCACATGTATATTCTGTATCAGCTTACATTAAAACCCAGTATTCTAGATGCCTCCTGTGTTTGTTTTTTTCCCCTTGAATTCATGTTTGGTATCTTTGGAAACTTTGGGATCAGGCACTCAGACAGGTGAGGTTTAAGGGACTTTAAAAACCATCTTGTTTTGACTGCCTGGTTCTGACTCTACGGTACGTACAACTGTGAGTCCCGCTTTAGTATTTTCATACGAAAGCACATTAATTCGTCAGTGGGTGACGTTCCCGTTCCGATCCCGCACGGCTGAGAGGGATTCTGGGAAAAGCAGAGGGGGGAAAAACGCTGACAATAACTCTGGAATCGTCGGCTATTATCTTGGCTCATTGGCTCAAACGGAGTCAAGCTGCTGCCCTGCAGCCGAGCCAAAACAACCCCGTCCACCTGCCGAGAGAGGGAGAGAGAAACAGTGTGTGCGTGTGTGTGTGTGTGTGTGTGTGTGTGTGTGTGTGTGTGTGCGTGTCTGTGTGTTAGAGCGAGCCCCCATCCGGCTTTTGGATCCACAGTGAGCTTTTGGTTCAGAAGCTGCTGGAGAGAGAGAGAGAGAGAGAGAGGGGGATGGGAGGAGACTCAACTTCAGTCCAGCTCGCTCCAACCAACCTCACAAACAATACCATCTCTCTCTCTCTCACTTTCTATTTTTCACTCAGACGTTTTGCCCTGAGTCACCACAAGCGGCCAGCTCTATTTTTCCTATTATCTCATATTTGTGAAGCCTGGAGACCTTTAGAGGAAAAGGGAGGGAGGGATGGTGAGGAGGTGGAGGAGGAGGAAGGGGGGTTGTGGAAAGAAAGAGAGAGAGAGAGAGAGAGAGAGAGAGAGAGAGAGAGAGAGAAACAGAGAGAGAGAGAGAGAGCCCGGGCCCTCGGGTGCACAACAAAGGGACCTCTGTGCCAGCGCCAGGCCCAGCCGGGCTCAGAGGAGGGTGGAGGATGAAGGAGGAGAACGAAGACGAGGAGGAGGAGGAGGAGGGCCCACAGGAAAGGGCCCTGGCTTGGGACCCATGGCCGGCCCTTATATCCCGAAAAACAGGCTCCACATTGACTTGGGCCTTGGCAGACATGGGGAGGCTCCAGCTACCAGCCCCCCTCCCCTCCCCCTTCCTTCTCCGTTCTCCTCCTCCCTCCTAAACTGAGCAGGGGTCAGCATTGAATAAGCAATTATACAAGCACTGGTGGAGTTTGTCTAAGACTGCCACCCTGAACACTGAAGTATTGAGATGGAAGGAAGGAGAGAGAGAGAGCGAGAGAGCGAGGAGAGACGTGTAGTGACTTCTGTG